AAAAGTGTAAGTGCTGTATGTGGTATCGTTACTAATAGTTAATATGATAATAGATTTTTTCTGTTGATTCGAGCTCAATTTATTTTATACTCCGACCGAGTATTTGTTCATAGAGCTCGGAATGATAACAGTTAATGCTCTTTAGAAGATAAATGTGTCACTATATTCCCAAGCACTTGATGGCTTTCTCTAATTAAATACTTTTTAAAATAAATTATTTTGCGTGCGTGCTGATGTTTTCTTCTCGTTTCATCCTTATAACTATGATAATGAAATATTATTCAGTTAATATTTACAGTTGCTTGTACCTAGTATCTTCTGGTCATATCCATTGACCAATCAATAAAATAAGTATCTTAAAGTATTAAAAATTAAAAAGGGTGACTTGGATTATACTCATGCAGAAATGTATAGAAAAACTTCGAATAGAATAATTTACTTTTTAAAATCTTGAAAGGAATGACGACAGATTGGTATTGGAAGATATTATAACTGTTTAAAATCCGTATTGATTATTGGAAGTAAATTTAGATAGTTTCTATGTTTAGAAACATTAGGCAGCCATATATCAATTTCAATTTATCAATCTTTATTTGTTTTAAGGGAAGAACCCTATACAAATGGAGTCTATCACAAAATAACAAACATTATTATCCTTATGAAAATACAAATTGACACACATAACAGACATTGCAACACTATTAAGCATAAATTAAAAATTATATTCGGTAAAGGTAAGACAGTTAAAATAGTTCCAATTATGAAATTAATATACAATCCAAAATTGTCAAAAATATACATAAATAAATACCCAAAAAACAATAAATACACATTTAAAAAAATATTAATATTAAACTATGCTTCAAAATTAAATTAAAAGATTACCCCTATATCTAATAGAGCAGACAAGAAATATACTCGGCCAAATTACATGCCGATGTACAATATTTTTTGAATTTTCGCCATATTATGCGGAGGACAATATTCAAGATTACCCTACCAATTCCTTATAATTTTATCTAATTGAGATAAAAAAATATAATTTTCTCATATCGTCTGCACTGGTTGGTTTAAATATTTCTATCCCATTAAGATTTTCCCTACCCTGATAAATTCTTACCCTTAAACTACTATAAATTGGGCATTTAAATAATATATGATGAATTGTTTCCTTTTCTTTAGTGTTGTACATTTTACACTCAAATTTTCACAATTTTATTATTAACAGAAATCTCGATCATATATTTTCCCGAGAGACGGATCTGCATCAATAGTTTCGTATATTTGAAATTAGTCGGTATCAACAAGTACTGAGGGATCGGATCATTATTAAGAAAAAGGTTTAAATGTTCACTATAAGATTAACTATACAATGTTATCCTGTCTTCGTCTTGCAAATGTTGTTTGTATTTATTTAATATCCTGTTAATATTTGTTCTAATTATGGCTGAGTTGGTTTCATAAACTAGATTTTATTCTCCAATAGTATCTAACAATACTTTTAGCCGAGAACAAAAAAGTATATTTCTATAGAGCAGGATTAGCTGAGTGACATTTACTTCTTAACTTTTCGAAACATATTTTTGAGGCAGACATCTATATTCTCTTACTTTGACCAAAATAGAATATAGTAAAAAAATTAATAGCCATTAAAAGTTAACTATAAAATTTGTTGGCACTTGTAATCAATAAATAAACATATTTAGAATGGAAATAATAAATAACACTGTTCTACAAAATTTTTTTTAGGTGTATGAAAACTGCTGACTCTTGACTAATTGTTGTGTGAGAAACTCGAATTTTCTGTCATAATCCTTATATTAGCTACCGTTCTGCAGACAGGAATACCAAATATCGGATAAAAATAATTAAGTTATTGGGAGTTACACAATAATTTTTTAGGCTTTAAAAGTGGTCTATTATTTGTGAAATACTTTTACAACTCACAATACATTAAATTACAACTTTTCTTGGCTTGAAAACCGCTGTTGTACAGTTTATTTAGAACATTTCTTCTTTGCTTGACGATTGTTCTGATATTCTGACAAATCCTTAACAGCGTTCCAACTGCAGTCTGGGAGCATTGAAGAATCCCACCAACGTTGATATCTTCGTTCCATCGAGTATATATCTTGGTGAAATCGCTCACCATGTTCGTCACTTACAGATCCACAATTTTCGGGAAAGAAGTCCAAATGAGAGTGAAGAAAGTGAATCTTGAGTGACATGTTACAACCGAGATAATTCTCAAGGAGGGTTGGGACCAAGACAGTATAATTGTTTTCTCTCTTTTGTTACCCAAGAAATCATTAACTAAAGCTGTAAATCCTTCCCACACTGCTCTTTTTTTTTACCCTGAACAATATTGAAAAATTCTTCTGCCATTAAGAAGCTCACAAATTTTTAGACCAACAAATACAACCTCTTTAATCTTAGATAAATTTTCCTCTCAAGTTTATGAACCCTAAATTTATATGTAGTAGAGGCAATATGATTTTTTCAGGACCCACAAGAGGGTTGTAGCGACATTGTTTTTGTACAGTGATCAAGACTTCTCTTTGAGGCCTTTCTTTCCTGATCTAAGGAAATAAAATGTCCCGACTGTCCCACTCACATAAGAAACAACATTACTTAGTATATCCCAGTTGCATGACCAGAAGAATTGCCACCACTTTCAAGTCTCCACAGATTTGCCATTGGTAGTCCTTTGTATTTGATGGATTTTCGCAGGGTTTCCATGTTTTGGTAAGTTTCTTCATGTACACAGCATGGCCAATAGGGACAGAGGGAATTAAATTGCCATTGCGCAGCAGAACTGCCTTGAGGGATAGCTTTGATGAATCGATGAACAGCCTCCATTCATAAGGGTTGTGATTGAGATTAAATGAAGTCATCAGACCTGGAACAGTACAACAAGCAACAAGGTTCTCATACTTTTTGAAAGGGGGGAATAAGCCTTTCTGACAATTTCTGTACATTCAATATAATATAATAATAATACAATATGACTTTATAACCACGATGACACACTAAGCCACACAACGGGACATTAGACCTAATTATCACACCAACCACACTGTATGACGGAATAGGATGCTATTATAGGAAATCACTACTTCAACGCAAATCGAAATATTCTAGAAACAAGCAGTATATAAGAGAAAAAGTATTGATCTATACATTTCGGATAAATGCTCTTAAAATGAGGCTATAAACACTATAATAGTAGAAACTTGATATCTGCTCTCTAGTTTTTGTTTTTATAAATTATGTAAACTTATATATTATAAGAAGGGGTCATTGAATTTAATGTGGGCAATAGTTCTAGCCTGTAAAAATTATAAATGGGACAGGTTATGGAAAAATTATATAAATCTTCCCTTTCATTCAAGTTAAACAACGAGCATAAACTTTCTGTTTTAGTGTTTTGGTAAGTTTTTTTGTGACTCAGTTTTATAAACTTTATGTTTGAAGTTCTTATCTTATGAAGTTAGGTTATAAGGTTTATAAACCTGAATGGGACTGGAGATGTAAGGACGGCTTGAGTTTCTAAATCTGAAATACTAGTTTCTAAATTGAGTTCTCAAATACTAGAGGATTCCCTGTTTTGTATATCTCTATGTCTAAACTTGCATTAAAGCAGTTCCATTAAAACCCCTCTCTGGGTTGTTCCTGATCCATCGCATGTTTTAGAAGAGACTCAATATCATGCCTCCTGAGAAAGTGTCTCACCTGCAATATCCAATTATATTTCAATTCATTAGGATATTTCCTTGCCATCTCAATCAGCCCATGTAAGCATTGCTCTGGATATCTTGTTTCTTCCATGTTCCAAACTCTGTCTGACCATCTTAGAGCGGCCTGTATGATTAAGCAGGAAACATCTAGTTCCCCTGTCTCTAACCTAACTATATAATTTGGGACGGAAGCATGGGGAAATAACAGCCTTGTTAAGAACGTCAAATGGCATTTTTCAAGAATGTCAGTATATCTGAATGAATTAAAATTAAAATGAAGGGAATGAAGTTAAAAGAAATAAAAAATGAGACCTGTAAACAAGGTGAAATGCATGCAAATAAAATATTAAATACAAATATTCAATTAGTTAAATATGGAAAATAAATAATCCCTCTTTTGAATGTTTACAGAGTTATATACGATAAAAAAAGATATATACATACAAAAGCTGAAAACAAAATAAACAATGGTATAAAAATTAACAGATATAAAACCAAACATAAATACAAATTCAATGAAAATTTTAAAAAATTCCATAAAAAAATAAAAAATAAGTTCTAGAACAACAAGAGAAAGAAATTCAATTGAATGTCCAAAAAACTAATTATGCGTGAAAAAATTAAATTAATTTTAAATATCTTTCGGAGGCAGTGGAGCGATGTCAACAATCGCAATGGGAAGTAGAGAAGCCCTACCCCCTACCAGGTTATCTTTGAGGTATCAGCTGATGTCAAACAGTCGATGTTGGGGGATTGATATGCATATCGACCTCAATCTATGAATGCCGATGTCTATCCAGCTGTGTGGAACAAAATGGCGCAAGGTGAGTTGAACCCGGAGCAAATGGTGGGATGGAGGGTAGACCCTACATCTATGAATGCTCGCTCCTGACTAATTCCTGGCAGTTTTATCGCAGTAATTTGGTTGTCTTAATTCCTACCACTGAGTATTACTGCCGGGCTGGTGTGTATACAACTGTGATAATATATCGCGAAATAAAGACAATGTTTAAATTATATACAATCTATTAAATTAATTTCTGGACAATTATCCCTAGCTATTACAAAAAAAATAAACAGTTATTAAATGAACATTTAAAAAAGGTAAAAATGGTGAGAGAAAATAAATGAAAGAAAAAATAAAATGCTTTAATTCAGACGTTAACAACTACATAATTTTATAACTGGCTGTATGAAAAATTCCAATGCCAAAAAAAACTAATCTATACTATAATTATTAACAGTATGTTTGGTTTTTAGGTTTTTTTATTCCCAGCATTAAAAATGTCTTGGCTAATGTACATCGCCATAGCAGCCTTCTCTTTGTTGGCGCTGGCTTACTACAAGATCAAGAAGATGTTTAGGTACTACAAAGACATGAACATTCCTTACGTCGAACCGAAGTTTCCTTTAGGAAGTGACCCGGAAGGCGTTTTGTTTAGAATACATATTGGTAAATCATTATCCATTTGTGTATCTTAATTGTTAGTAAGCTCAGAAATTACAAATCAAAACTAACCAAAACTTCATATCCATGAATAAAAGAAAAAAGGAAGGAGATGGATCGGGGTGGCGGTCATAAATAGGCTAAATAGAGGTAAAAATATTTTACTAAAATCAAACGTTTCGGCCCAACTTTGCAGGTCTTCTTCAGAGAGGTGTGTTCAGCTGGGAGTTTCAGATAGAACTGAATATCAACTGAGTTCTATGTGACCTGCCAGACCTGCAAAGTCAGGTCGAAACGTTGGCTTTTAATAAAAATAGTTTTACCACTATTTAGCCTATTTATGACCGCCACTCATTATGACCATCTCCTTCCTTTATAATGCAGCGGTCAACTATTAAATATTCAATAAAAGAAAAAAGAGCGTTTTCATTTCATTACATGGTAAACATTTTATGTGAGTAAAGTTCTATATACAGATTATGTGAAACAGTTGTTTTACACTTTTAAAATCAACTACATGCTTAGTACTTCTTTTACAGGTGATAGTTGGGATAAAATATATAAACGATTGGAAGGAAAACCGGTAGGAGGGTTCTTCCAGACTGTCCTCCCATTCCTCATGATTCGTGATCCGGAGTACGTTAACCAGGTACTTATATCCTCATTTGAACACTTCTTCGACAGAAACTTCCTGGTTGACGAGGAAGTTAATCCACTTGAAGCTCACCTATTCCTACTGAGGGGGAACAGATGGCGATACCTCAGGAATAAATTGAGCCCTATCTTTAGCGGTGGTAAACTCCGGTGGATGTTCGAGGAGATGGAGAAATGCGGAGATATATTCGTAGAATGCATCGATAAACTGGCAGATGGAAAGGACCGAGACGTTCTAGAAGAACTAGCACGATATGCTACAGATGTTATAGGTGAGTCAATTTAAAAAAATAACCAAAAAAAGCTCAAGGAACTGAATATATATTATTTTTATAATAAATATTATTTTATATATCCTATTAAATACACAATATCATTTTGTTACAGGATCCTGTGCCTTTGGACTTGAGAGTAATTGTTTAACAAATCCAACTTCACAGCTTAGACGAATGGGTAAAGAACTTTTTGATCAAACAAAATTTAATTGGACCCAGATATCTTTCCTACTGAGATTTTCCGTTCCTCGGCTACTGCTATGGCTCAAAGTACGATCTTTACCTTCCGAGATAGAGAACTTCTTCTGTTCAACCGTAAGTAGTGTTTTGGAACACAGGAGGAAAACCGGCCTAAAGCGGAGGGATTTTGTGCACCTCCTACTTCAGTTAAAAGAAAAAGGGGTTGTAGAGATTGATACTAACGAAATTGATCAAGATGTACAAGAAAATAACGACGTTGAAAAATTTGGTACGTCATATGAACCCTCTAATTAATAATTAATTAAAATATTATGAATGAGTCCTCGAGTTTAAAACGAATATATGTGACTAAACCTATGAGTTTTTGAGAAAACGACGAAGTTAAAATTATACTCCTCCTTTAATCAGAATTTTTTTCTTTCTTTTTTTATAAGCCTCTTCAGTATTTCTAATCGCACTCTGACAGATAAAACGAATTTTTACTATATTTTAACGTGTTTTAAACTACTTTTAGAACGATGATTTGGAATTATACCCTTTAATAGAAGTCGCCATCCCTTCCAACAAATTTTATTGCTCTCCTCTTATTAAAAACAATGAAATAGAAAGTTTAACTAGAAAAATTCTAGGGCAAAAGCTCATTGATCTCGGAGCGTATTGGAGTTCCTCTTAAATTCTAAATAGTTGATTTGCGATAAAAATTTTTTTTTCAATATTTAGCGGATTCCATACGTTTAAGATCTCCAGAAATAGGGAAATATTTTATACTATAAATATGATGCAATACTGTCAAGCCTAACATGTTCCAAGTAGGAACAGTTTATGGTGAATAAGTGCTTGTGCTGGTAAAATATTTTTTTAAAAAGTAAGTCTGAATAAATTTTAATTAGATTCAATATAGAAACAGTAAAAATAAAAAAAACGGCAAATTTTCATCTGCTATACTACTTACGCAACTAAGTTTTAGTCGCTCTAAAACTTAAGATCTATAACCATCTAAAAATTTTATACTTTTTGTTAAACATGAACAAACAATTAGGTTTTAATTATTAGCAGAAAATATTTAACTTTAAATTTAAATTTAGAAATTACAGAACATTTATTCATTACATAGTTTTTAATATTTTATTAGAAATAACAAATAATTTTATTATTATTTTAGAAATCACTGACCGTCTGCTCATGGCACAGTCATTTGTTTTCTTTGTGGCTGGTTTCGAAACAACGTCCAGGACCTTACATTTCCTCATTTATCAATTAGCTCAACATCCGGAAATACAAGAAAGGGCTAGGCAAGAAGTGCTGAGGGTTAAAGAAAAGCATAACCAATTTTCTTACGATGCCCTCAAAGAATTGACATTTTTAGACAACTGTATTTCAGGTAATCAAAATGTTAACTGAAAGTAATAGCCGATTGAACAAATGTTCCGTTATATATGGAATCATGTGATATTTTTATTTCCATCACTATAGTTTCGATTTTGATAATTAATGGAGCAAAATAAAATCACCTAAACTTAAGTATTTAAATAATTGAATGTAATTTACCAACATTCAATTTATTAATAAATCACAGAAAAGTTATTCTACATCTTTAAAAACGATTAATTAATCAGTCAAGAAATAAATTAAAAGTTGTGAATAACCATTAACTAAATAAAATATCTTCAGATTATTGCAAAAAAAATCATTAAGTAAATTTTTGATGGAACTATATTTTGATTTATTTGCAATAATCAACCTTTGTAATCGACTAAGAAAAAATATCAACCCTCACCTCTCAAGATTTGAGGTTTTATGTTTCAAGATACGTAGAATCCAAAAATCGAATAAAAAAAATCTGTCCGTCCACCGTAAGCCGTCGGCGTCTTTTCGCCGAGACTACTGGTCAGGCTGTTTTGAGATTTGAGATTCGGCATCAATGTTGAAGAGCATCCCAAGATGATCCTCAGAAATTATTATTTATTTTTTATTTTATTATGATTATTTTCCGCCCTTTTCTTTCACGGTGGCGGCCGGAAAACCTGTGTCGCTGCAAACTGTAGCTCATAAACTAATGTACCGTTTGTGATGAAACTTGGCCAAATTCTTCTCTTCGAAGCCCTTAAAATTTATTTATATAAAATATTTCACCGAAAAGTACTTTTCTGTCAAGATGGGGGCCTAAAAACCTGTATAGTATAGACTGTAGTGTCTAAACGAATGTACCGATTTTGATGAAAATTGGCTGATGTCTTCTCCTTCAATGCTCTTTAAATCTATTTATATAACATATTTCACCGAAAAGTACCTGGAAAAAAAGTTACGAGAGGTGTGGTGTTTAAGTTAGATTTAAGAAATACTCAAAAGTATACCCTTTTTTGTGGATGTTTATGGTCATTCAAACTTTAACAAAATTAAAAAAAAAAAAACATACATCAATAAATTCACTAAGGACTTCCAATGTGGATTATTGGTATCTGAGATGAGATTTTACCTGGTACCTCCTTCTCATCAACCCTAAAATGAGCCAGTGGTTTATTTTCCTATGTTTAAATAGAGTGAAAAATGCAAATGATTAGGTGGAAATAAATTTCTAATCACTAACCAACTTGTTTCAATATAAATAATTAAAATCTAATATTATAATGGTTTTAACAATAATAACTTAATTATTTTATTGTTAATTATTTTTTGTGTATTACCATTAACAGTTTCATGATAATAGGGTGCATCAGACCTCCACAATTAAGCTTGGTAATACAATGGTAATAGCGCTCTCGCTTGATCTCCACTGGCTTTAGCACCAGTGACGCGGTTGAGAGAGTAGCGCTGGGATCTCTTGGAGTCCTACTTTTCCCTCTATAGTTGGAGGGACAAGTCCGGCGTTGAGTTCCCTGTTTGATTGTAAGGTATTTTGAAAACTCAAGGCATGTCTGTGTTTTTTTAATTTATTTATCTTAAAGTTATTATATTTTTCTCTATTGTATATAGTTTTTGTATATACTTCATTATTTCGTTGTTATTTTGCTTTTATTTGTTTTCTGTTTTCTGTATGTATGGTTTGAATGTGTTCTTACCCCACTATAATTATTGCCCGTGTGCCATAATGTTATGTTACTGAAGAAATAAAAAAAAAATATCTGGTGTGTCCACTCACACGACTTTCCTACCTATTTCAGAAAAGTTTTTATATCTTTACATATGTTCATGATGAATAATTTCTGTTAAAAGTAGAGGAAATAGTGAAGATTGTGTGATGCGGGCAACAGATTTTCTTACTTTCACTTAGTCATCTTTATTCTCTCATTCACCTCATTCTGCAACCAGGATATGAAACAGTAATCGTACATTGGAAATTGAATAGCTGTAACTTCGTTAATAGTTGTCCAAAATGAAAGATTTATTAAAGCCGTTTTTGCGCTACAGTCTATAGAAATACATGTTTTTTTCATTTATTGCTCGCAAGCTATTGCGCATGAAGCACCGAATTTCTGTCACAGGCATCAGTACTCAAAACCCTACGAAATAAAAAAAGAAGCAACAAAATCAGTTCAGTAGTTTCCGAGAAAATCTTGGCACAGATAGACAGACAGACCAATAGCTAAAAATATGTTTTTCGGACTTAGGAGGCTCTGAAACGTATAGATCCGTCGAAAACCACATGTAGGAAATTTGACCCGATTGCAATACACTCCTTAACTAGTATGGGTCGGAAAGTTAAAAATCAATGATAATGATTATGCTCAGCAAAAAAATAATATGTGTATAATAAGTTGACTTTTTTTATTTATTTAGGTAGGCATTTTTCTTGAAATATAGAATATCTTTTAGTAGTCTCATTTGGGGAAACAGGAGCTACGATTACGTTGGGGTGGGAGGCTAGATGATATTACAAGCTGAAAGCCCAGAGTTCGACCCGGTAAAAAATTTCCTCTCTCCTTCAATAGTAAGTAGTATCACAAATAATTATAATTTCCAATTGATTAACAATAGAGCAGATTATCACTGAAAACAATTTCCATTGCCCAATCTTTATTTTGCTTTTTAAACCACAGATATAGATTTTTAACAAAACACTACGACGATTCATCAATGATTGGAAAGAAAAAATAATTATTGAAAAAATTATAGTTCAAAGTGGATGGATTCAGATTAGAATCAGGTATCTAGAATTTAGAGTGATAATGTGACAATTAAAAATTATGATGTATGATATATATTTATATAGATATATATGTTAATGTCATAGATGAATATGGTGCAAGGCGCCGAAAGCTTTATGTAGCGAATGAATAATAAAAAAAATGAGACTGTACTATAAGGACATTATTCTATATTTCATGGAAAAAAATATATATAGCTAAAATCATAGTTGTATGATTATACCAGATCCAAAACTTTTCTTTATATCTTAATAGACAAACTTATTTTATAATTTCAGAGACTTTGCGTATGTATCCACCAGTTGTTATGTTAAATCGGGAGTGTACCAAGGACTTTACATTTCTAGATGGTAGCTCCATAAAGAAAGGAGAACAAATAGTGATTCCAATCTATTCAATTCAACGAGATCCAAAATACTTTCCAGAACCTATGAAGTACAATCCAGATCGATTTGCTTCAGATCCTCAACGTGGGACTTACTTACCTTTTGGTGATGGACCTAGAATTTGCATCGGTAAGAAGAGAACTATATATCAGCAATATCTATATTTAATGATTAATTTAATCTATATTAATTTATTACTGATTTAATACTTTAATCAATCCTGATATAAAGTTAATGCATGTTTTTTTTTGCAGGAAAAAGATTCGCTCTGGTCGAAATTAAAATTGTAATGGCAAGATTGTTGGAAAGGTACAGTTTTGAACCAAGCTCATTAAATAAGGAACCGATTGAGCTAAATCCATGGACAAATATTCTTTGCCCTAAAAATGGATTGTATGTAAAAATTCAGAAGCTAAATGGTTGTAAATAAATATTTTAATTTCCGATTACAATTTGCCCTATTTTTTTCAAGTATTTATATTCTATTAACTTATTATATCAAGATATGATCTTTGAAGAATTGCTATTTTTAAAAACCGACTTGAAGAACAAATATGATTGGATAAATAGTAATAGTATGACAAAGACTGCTGCGGGAATCAAAGGAATAATACCTAATTTTCAGTATTCTTTTTCTGTACTCTCCTAACAAGGCCACAAAACGTGTACTGTGCATTTGAAACAGTCCACGACAGCTTGTTGGAATAGACCATATGTTTAACAGTCTAATTTTCCAGTGATTTATAACTATTTAAGGGGACCCTCCACGGTCAATCGGAATTGCAGTAATGACGTTCCGAATAGTCGTGTAAGGTAGTGAATGAAGTACTGATGGTGGTGCGCTGCGGATTTCCGAACATCCGGAAATCAAAGGTTCATTCACGAGAAGTGGAGGGGGGACTGAGGTAAAAGTAGTGGGGAGACTAACCATACTGCTGGATAGGTTAGGTTACCTAGGCCTCACAACCATTATAAATTTCTGATTTTCATTATATGTAAATAGTTAAATAATTTTTCATATCCCTTGTTTATAATTTTAAACCATCTTCAACTATTTCTTTGAAATAGTCAAGTGGGCAACAAATTAAAAAAAAAAATGAGGAAACTTCACAATTTACTTTAGGAAAAAAAAAACTTTATCGTTTTGTATATTTATTAGTTCTTTTCCCATTTTCCTCAACAAATTTATTATTTTCGCAATACCTTTCCTTAATTTTTGTAAGTAGTAGACTTATATTTTACGAACCTTTGTCAAAACGATTTTCTATGAGACTACTACTAGATAGGTTAGTTTACCTAGGTCTCGTTATTAAGTAAATAATTTCATAAAAGTAAATAGCTGTTTATATCCCAAGTCTATATTGTTATTAACCATTTTCAACTATTTTTCTTTAAATAGTCAAGTAGGCAATAAATTGAAGAGAAAAAAAAGTGTAAACTTCACAATTTACTTATAGAAAAAAAATCTGTAACTGTTGTGTTTATTTGCCATTAATTTTTCCATTTTTCTTAACAAATCGATTATTTTTGCAATACTTTTTCTAGATTTTTGTATCTAGTTGGCTTATATTTTTCTAACTTTGGTCTAAACGATTTTCAGGCACTAGGAAGTAATTATTATATCTCCGTTTTTCTCTTGATGCCCAATAATATAAATGACAATGTCCAAATAAGCATATCTATGCTGTTTCTTTGTTTACAACTGTGCTAAATTGGTCAGCAACGATCTAACCTAAATCAACAACAATAAGTAATGATCAGCAATGATTGAACGTGTAAGGGTCTTCATGATCAAAGTGATAGCGGGCAATCTTGGAACTTCTGGCATTCATGAATTACCGTGTAGGGTCTGCTTTATGGTCAAAACCCTGACAAATCATTGTATAAAATGTTCATAATCTGTCCGTTACGACTTATTGAGCGTATAACATGACCTATTTTAAAGTTAAATGTTTCAAATGACTCAGAGAGTTGTTGAATATTATGAAATAATTTGAGCTAAAAGTGCAGACAAAGATATTTTATTATATATTAATGTCAGGTTATAATTGGGTAAAATTCCAAACCACACAACCTCATGTATCCAAAATGCAGGAAAAGAAAACAAACCTGTCAACGTTTCGTCAATTCAGGCGTCATCAGGACACAAAAAAAAACAGCTGATCGAACATGACTATATGAACATCGAATTGGCTATATCAACGTAAACTCCCGGTATGCATTTGGATATCATGGAGTGATGTTCGATTAGCTGTTTTTATCTGTCCTGATGATGCCTGAATTGGCGATAAGTTAGCAGGTTTGTTTTTTTGCCTGCATTTTGGATTACATAAGGCTGTGTTGGTTTGGATTTTTTTTCCAAAATATAACCTAAACTTTATGTTCTCTCTCTTGATTAGTTTGTTACTAATTTATATTATTATATTTTAAGTATTCCCCAATTTGCTTAGACTTTATATATTAGTTAAATATAAAATATCAATTTTTCTGACGATATGGTGGTGTTCGGAAATGACTGCCGTAATTTGCAGTTTAACCTCAAGATCCTTCAAGCTGAGAAGAGGAATATAAACATGGAAATTAACATCTCCAAAACAAAATTTATGAGGATTGGGAGAAGAAGGGACCGAGGATCGTTCGGCTGGGTGGTATCCGCCTGGAAGAAGTTAAGGATTTTAAATACCTGGGTGCTCACCTTAACAAGTTCGGATAGGTTGATGGAAACATAAAAGAGAGAATTAAGACGGCAGGAAAATGCTTCTACTCCCTCAAGTCAGGCTTTTTGGAGAAAAAGGAAGTCTCAAAGGCCACTAAGAAGATTGTCTTCAAAAATACTTTCCTCCCGAGTCTTGGACCCTCACTGCCAATCACAAAAGCCAAATCCAAGCTATGGAAATGCGATATTTAAGGAAAATAGAGGAGAAAACAAGAAGAGATCGTGTAGGAATGTGACCATAAGAGCTAATCTGGACCTGAGGCCTGCAGAGGAAATAATCCAAGAAAACCAACTTAGGTGGTTTGGACATGTCTCGCGAATGGCTGAAAACAGAATTACCAGGGCTACCTACGAGGTCAAAGTGGAGGGAAGGAGGCCACAGGGAAGACCAAGAAAAAGATGGGAAGAAGAAGTTAAAGAAGCCTTTGACAGGAGAGGAATGGACTGGAGTAGGAGAAGACAGCTGACCCAGGATAGAGATTCTCAGGAAGGAACCTCATACTGCTCAGCGGTAACAGAGGACTGGATTAAGCTAAGTGAAATTAAATATAAATTGTCAATATTTAAAAACTAAAAAAGTTAAAGTAAAACATATATTTGCATTAAAAAGGAAACCCAACTACAGAAATCTGAAAATCCCGTCCATCCTAAAGGAATGTTCTTCCGTATCTACCAATACACCTTGGTAGGGTGTTAGAGAAACTGAAACTTACGATTATTCCAATTTGGTGTAGTAGTCGGCTGCCTTCTACTACATATGATATCCATTACAGGAAGATATAACCGAAATTTGTACCTGGAAAAACCACTAAACGCCAAGAAGACGAAAGCCATCCTGATCGGATCTCCTTCTTCACTCCTTAAAACCTTACCGACACCCCTCCCCTCCCCCCCATCTTTTCCTGAACAACTCACCCATCTCATTCCATACTTCCGTAAAAAAACCTTGGTGTTATCTTTAATCAAACCCTCTCTTGGAAACCACACACCTCCCAAATTTCCCGTCGTTTTATCTCTACTCTGAAACAGTTTAACCGTCTCCGATATCCCCTTCAATATAAATCCCGTCAACTCCTGGTTTCTTGTCTTATGTTCCCCGACTTCGACCATGGCTGTCTGGTGTACGGCGGACTCTCGGGGGAATTCGAGGCCAAATATAAATACCTAATGAATTTCGCAATACGTTTTGTTTTCGGAATTTCAAGAGATACGCATATAACCCAGTATTACACCAAGTTGAAGTGGCTCTATCCATCTAACCGCCGTCTGTACTTCCTTGCTACCTTTCTACATCGAGCCATCAGAACTCAGCGACCTTTCTATATTTTTCACAGCCTACAATTTAAAAATTCAATTTAATCCCGTCCTACTAGATCCCGTACTTCCGACCTCTATCAACCTCCTCATCGAACTGCTGCGTTTGACAACTCCTTTATAATTCAAGCCGTCTCCTTCTGGAATACCATCCCTCCCGATATCCGACATGCACAATCAATTTCCTTATTTAAATTTCTCCATTTTAAGCACCTACTTCTTTCCCAACCCAACTGATCATAAAAAGTAGATAATATAACTTTTTAAGTTCCCCTAGAAATGATTTTGTTTACTTATGTTATTTTATTTTCCCATGTTTGTATTATATATATAGCTTACAGAGCAAATACCTTTGCACCCAAGAGAGGTGTTGCCACATGACGTCTAATCAAACGATTTGGTTGCCCAGTATAATAGTGTCCTTATAGCCATGGTGTGTCCAATATTACTATATCGCCTTATCAGCTTACGTGATGTGGAAGCATGTCTATGATGTGGAAGCAGTATGATGTGGAAGTTACTAATATTGACTATAGATACTTTAGTAGTGAAATGTGTATAATATAATAACTTTTGTCTATATACATCATGATGAACTTCAGAATATCTAGTAAATACATCATAATTTGTTTCTAAGCATTTTAATCTTATATTTCCAACACTAAATAATAAGATAAAAGGAGCAGAGAGGTAAAGCGTTGAAGGGTGTTAGCTTCGAAACAAAGTTTTAGGGTGAATTGTTGGTGAAGGAAGGGGAGATGATGTTTCTGTTTGATACTACTATAGAAATTGGTTTGATCTGTCTGATCTTCGTCGAACAGAGGTGGCATTATTTTCGCAGAAATACAGTCACAGTCAGTTAACATTTTATTTTCTCTTTAAGCTATAAATAAAATAAATATTTATATATGTAGATCATTAGATCTATAAACTACGGCCCTTGGCATTAGACAGTTTTTTATTTATCTGATCCTCATCTCAATGGGATTCCATCCCTTACTACGTCCGTTACACCCATTACCCTACTACTACTACATAAACCTCACTGATAAATAATACCAATGAATCGGCTGAGTGAGATGAGCTGGATTCTCCTGAATTTCCTTCCACGAATGGGTGAAAAGGCTTGGCTCGGAGATCTTGCTTTCGGCATCTCTTCGAAGGTAATCCGGGTTATCAGAATAAAGGCTACTCAGTGCTCAGTGAGAATGTCTGGAGACATCTGGATTCTTCTATAACTACAAGGGACTCAGGCTAGGTGATTGTTCAGCATACCTGTATTTAATATTGCGTTGAAATGTGCCATCAGAGTGTCGAATATCCAAATAGGAGGGACAATTTTCAACAAATCATGCCAAATTCTAGCCTATGTCGATGATCTTGATGTCGTTGAATGCAGTTTTCTGAGAACCTTTTTAAATATACAAAAAGTTGGAATTCGTTGAGAATTTATTTACGTTGAATCTCTTAGTCAACAATATGCAACTTAGCGCCGGATCACGCATACCAATTGATGCTCTAATGGGCTTCAAAAGCATCTAAAAAGCAAATCCAACCCATCTAAAAACCCTCTAGAACCATCAAGACATGTACCGTACCACCATAACCAGGCTCATGCACGGGGGATGGACATACATTATGTATGAATAATACTGAAGTTCTCAAAATGCTATTAGAAGATTTTATATTAGGAGGTTGAACCTCACCTGCGTTGGGTAGATGGCGTAGCAGTAGATGCTTAGAAACTGTTGGCTACATCTAAGAGAGGATCTTGCCTATTCATGGGTTGTAGAGCCATCGAAAAAGAAGAACAATACATTATTACCATAAATAATAAACGATAAACATGAGTATAGCGTGTGAATTAAACAGTATTTTTCAGTGTATGAATTATTTTCTAGTTGTTTAACAAATTATTGGGTTGGAACATAAGACCTTTTCGATTTTCTGTTTATTTTTATGTCACTATGATGCACTTGTTATCTGATGAATTAATCCCTAAGGTGGATTGTTTATCCTGTTTGTAATATATCAACAACTATATCTCTTAACTCTTATTGAAACTAGCTTAGTATAGTGTTTGCTATTGTACAGTGAATATGGAAGAAAATATCATTCAGTCCATGCATTGTTTATGGTAATGATGCCTTAACCGAAAAATTGTACCTGTCAAAATTGGTTTGCCATATTTCATTCAGTAAGTTTTGACATCAATGATACTCAACGGTCTGGTAGTCCACATACAATTGAGACAAGCAATGTTAAGGCCATTGTTGATCATAATTTCACCCAATCAGTGCGAGAGATTTCTATGGCCCTAATTGTATCACACACAAGCATAGGAAACCATTTGCACAAACTCGGCTGTTTCCAGGCTTAATTTCTGGGTCCCTCACATGATTTTTTTTTTCTAAAATCACAGAAACGCAATAAATTCTCAACGGATTCAAAGTTGGTTATCCGATTTTCATACTCCCCTCTAGATATTCTTCTCTTTTAAGATAGCAGAACATATATTTTGTTATGGGCTCAATCATTTGCAATCCAACTTTTTGTATATTTAAAAAGGTATTCATTATTTAATATTTATGGAATTTCTTGCATGAATGGTAAGAAATTCCAAAAGGAAGAGGACATCAAAAACCATTTGGATCAGTTGTTTAACAATAAACTACAGATATTCTATGAACATGGCATACAGCTAGTGGGAAGATGGAAAAAAATCATACTAAATAATGGTCAGTATGTTGTAAATTAAAATGAATTTTACGTCTATAATACATTGAGTTTTATTTCACCCTAAAAACCAAAAGGACTTATTTGCAACCCAATATTTCATTTTTATTTTGTATTTATTTATAACATTTTCCATTATACCATTATCGCAAATGTTTTTATACACTAAACTTAAATTATATTTTAAGAAAGAAAGACATGCAAAAAGTGTTGCACAAAAATTAATTAATTCATCCTGGGGCTGCTGGAATATTGGTTAATACTGGTTGTTGGGCTGGACATCCACCCGGCAATTAGTAGAGTGACCAAGACCATTGCTATGTACTACCTGTTCCCAGTCATATTTCGTCCCAAATTTCATAATTCAAATCAGTTTTCATATCCATTATTTCCTTTCAAATCCTAATCTAATGAATTAGTCTAATACGGGTACTTAAAATGGAATAGGGTAAAATATGGATTTAAATTAACACATTTATTTACAACCATTTAGCTTCTGAATTTTTACATATAATCCATTTTTAGGACAAATAATATTTGTCCATGGATTTAGTTCAATTGGTTCCTTACTTAATGAGCTTGGTTCAAAATTGTACCTTTCTAACAATCTTGCCATTACAATTTTAATTTCAACTAAAGCAAATCTTTTTCCTGCAAAAAAAAAAAGAGATAAATTAATTCTGTGTCAGAAAAGATTTTATCAGTAATAAATAATTTTAGAAAATTAAAATTAGAAATTTAATTTTTCATTTATATTGCGAAAGGACGTGTTTCTACATCGTCTCTCAGAATTTACTTATTTTGCAGTGAAATCTTTGAGATTATTTATTCAAAACAAGTCAAGAATACATAATAACAATTGATATTTATTTTTCGTTATAAATTATAGGGTTATTTTTATTTTTTTTTATATTTTTTTTTTTTTTCATTTTTTTTCCCTTATATGCGATTTCACAATCAGGCCATGTCTAGTAGAGCTTCTATCAAGAGAATTCGGCCGTTAGGCTCAACACCTTGTTCTTCGCCTGTCAAACAAAAGCCTCGTCAATGTCGTCAAACACCTGCAGTAACGCCTATTAGCTCCAGAGAAAATGAAACCCAGCCAGGAACATCATCAAAACCAACAATTGAAGAACTTCAGCATCAACCAGGTACATCTTCACAAGAGATAACCGAACAATCTCCGTTTTTCACCCCTAACCCCTATCAGGTGCTTCAGAATGATAAAGAAGTGATGGAATCCGCTTCAATACCAAGAGATCCCCGACCTCCACCCATATTCGTTAAAAACATAAGCAATTTTCAGTTACTATGCTCACAACTGAACAAAATAACAGGCTCTGGAAGCTATTCATGTCTAAGCAGAACAAAGGACACGAAGATATCACCAGATACAGCTGAAACCTACAGAAAAATTGTGAAGTATCTAACGGAAACCAACGCGGATTTTCATACGTACCAATTACGGCAAGATCGAGCTTTGAGGGTAGTCATAAGAAATCTACACCCCTCAACACCAACCGAAGCAATAGAAGAAGAATTGAAAACTTCAGGTTTCATAGTGCGCCAGATTACAAATGTACAGAAGGAGAGTAAAGAACAGCCAGGAGTAAAAGTTCCTCTACCCTTATTTTTCGTAGATTTGGAGCCAAATCAAGGGATCGAAAAAATATACGAAATAAGAAGAATATACTACACAAGTGTTATAGTAGAGAAGCCATATCCTAAGAGGGAAATCGTACAGTGTCACAATTGCCAGGCATATGGCCATACCAGGACTTACTGCCATCATCTGCCGCGCTGTGTGAAATGTGGAGAGCAGCACAAATCCGGGGAGTGCACAAAACCGAAACGGGATCCTGCAGTTTGTGCATTGTGCCTTGAAGGACATCCAGCGAACTACAAAGGCTGTCAGATCTACAAGAATATTAAATCAAGATATCAAAAATCCCGGACCCAAGAAGAAGCAGAGGCATCAAGAAGAGAACCTAACGCATCAAGAAGAGGACCTTCAAAAAAAATTGACCCAACGGTGTCTTTTGCACACTTATTAGGAGGTAAGAATGATGTTACTTATTGTGAGACCCTGCCGCAACAACAACACATACCTCAAAATTCTCAACCCCACCCTCAACATCCTAATCAAACTTCACCTAATCAACAGTTTTATCAACACCAAATTCCCCGCATTCCTCCTCCCTCAAATACCACAGATCTCACCAGTTTACTTACATCTTTCCTCTCCGAATTCAGATCCCTTGTTACTCCTTTGATATCTCTTCTCACCAATCTTGTATCACATTTTATCCCTCCCGCGAAAAATCCTTAAATGACTTCCAATAAACCTTTATCCATTCTCCTTTGGAATGCGAATGGTGTTAGAAATCACACAAACGAACTAACTACATTATTACTTGACAAAAATATTGACGTGGCACTAATTACTGAAACTCGACTAACCACTAAACAGCACTTCAAAATACCACAATACCTGACATATCGTACTGACCACCCTGACGGAAAAGCACATGCCGGTACTGCTGTCATTGTACACCAATCCCTCTCCCATCACCTACTCCCGTTACCTACACATGATTTCCTACAGTCCACCGCTATCGTGATAAAAACCTTTTCCTTTCCGGTTACCCTTGCATCAGCGTATTGCCCTCCTAACCGATCCATATCCAATGCCCAATTCCGTTCTCTCCTCGACTCCTTAGGACATCACTTCATCTTGGGTGCAGACCTAAATGCCAAACATCAACAATGGGGTTCCAGAACCACGAATACTCGTGGCCGAACCCTGCTGTCTGCACTCAATTCCCAACATTTTCATCTCCTTTCCCCCAACTCTCCTACCTACTGGCCTACAGATCCCAACCGTAATCCTGATCTTCTTGATTTCTTTATCCACAGCGGCTTAAGTCCCCTCAATTGTTCCATTACACGTCTAAATGAACTTTCCTCTGACCATAGTCCTCTAATCCTTAATGTTTCACTTGAACCCGTTCCCAAACCTTCTCCACCGTCATTTATTAGGGCCCAGTTAACTGGGACCTTTTCCGCCAAATCATCTCCGATAAAATTGATCTTAACATATCCCTCAAAACTCCCGATGACCTTGATAGTGCCGTAAATTCCTTTACTACCACAATCCAACAAGCCGCCTGGACTGCTTCCTTCCCAAAAGACTCCTCCAGAATTCCTAAAAAGACCATTCTACCCCAACACCTCCTTGACCTAATCCAAACCAAACGCCGTGCCAGATTATTGTGGCAACGTACCCGACATCCTACCGACCGCTGCTCCTATAATTATTACTGCAAAAAATTAAAACTGGAATTAGCCACCTTCAGATCACATTCCTTCAACTCCTACCTATCCTCCCTTTCTTCTCGCGACAATTCCCTTTGGAAAACCACTACCAAAATCTTAAATCCTCACCGCATTTCCCATCCCCTCCGACGAGATGATGGCTCCTGGGCAGCATCTGACGAAGATAAGGCTGAGGAGTTCGCCATTCACCTATCCAATACATTTATTTCACATCCGGAATCCCATCCTGCCCACACCGTAACAGTAGAAGAATTCCTTACATCACCAATCCCACTTTCCTTGCCCCCAAAAGCTATTCATCCTTCCGAAGTGAAATTTCAATTAAAAAAATTAATCCCCCGTAAAGCTCCTGGACATGATCTCCTTACCCCTCAAATCCTTCGACAACTTCCATCCAAAGCAGTCATATTCCTTACATATATCTACAACTGTATCCTACGCACCACCCACTTTCCTCTGCTATGGAAACACTCCACTATTATCCTTTTCCAAAAACCAGGCAAACCTCCCAATATCTCAACATCCTATAGACCAATTAGCCTACTCCCAATCCTTTCAAAAATTTTTGAAAAGATCCTTTTGAAACGAATCCTACCCATTATAGAATCCCAAAATATTCCTTCCCATCAGTTTGGTTTTCGCTCCCAACATTCCACTGTTCAACAAGGACTCCGAGTTGTTGATCATATTTCCTCAGCCCTAGAAAACAAGGAATACTGTTCGGGTGCATTTCTGGACATTGCACAGGCATTTGACCGGGTATGGCACTCCGGACTGCTCTTCAAGCTTAAAATCCATTTACCTCAGTCCTTGTACCTAGTCCTCCGATCCTACCTCTCTGACCGCTCCTTCCGAGTTCGCTGTGGAACAGAATTTTCCAATATCTACTCCGTTAAAGCCGGTGTTCCCCAAGGCAGCGTCTTGGGTCCCGTGCTTTACATCCTCTTTACTGCTGACATCCCTGTTCATCCCGATACTTTTCTTGCAACATTCGCTGACGACACCGCAATCTTATCATCCAACTCTGATCCCAACATAGCATCCTTAAATCTCCAAAACCACCTCACCTTGATTGAGCACTGGTGTAATAACTGGCGCATTAAAGTTAATGAATCTAAATGCCAACATATTACCTTTACACTCCGACGCAGTTCCTGTCCACCAGTACACTTTAATTCCATCCAGCTTCCTTACTCAGACACAGTCCGGTATCTTGGCTTTCATTTAGACCGAAGACTAACGTGGAACCCACATACTAGACTCAAAAGACAAGAACTCAACCGACGATACGGCCAGCTATACAGACTACTAAACAGAAAATCCAAACTTTCTATTGAAAACAAATTACTTATCTACAAGACAATACTGAAACCTATATGGACATACGGACTTGAACTGTGGGGGACAGCAAAAGCTTCTAACATCAAACGTATTCAATCCTTTCAATCTAAAGTCCTTCGAACAATAGTTGATGCTCCGTTCTATGTAAATAACAAAATCCTACACCATGACCTTAATATCCCATTTGTCCTAGACCTTATTCCAGAAAAATTCTCCAAATTTCACCAAAACCTTACCTATCATCCAAATCCCCTTGCACAATCTCTATCCAGCACCACCCATCCTTACAATCCTCCTCGAAGGTTGAAGCGGCAGTGGCCCAGAGACCTTTTGTAAATAAGCATCTATTGGAGTTTTGGCAATGGCCAGATCCTCCACTCAAGCCCGAGTGTGTATGATTAGGTTAGTTCTTTTGTTTATGTACATTTATTTTATTTTATTGTATTTATTTTTATTTTATTTTATTGTATTTATTATTATTATGTTTCTGTATTATTTATTTTTTTTTTATTGTAAATAGAGTGTGAGTGTGCTTTCTCTGATCACTATTATAAATGTCCTTGATGTGACAGAATGTAATATTTCTAAATAAACAAATGAATGAATAATTTATATTTCTTATGTATTATTCATTTATTACCTATACAAATTCTAGGTCCATCGCCAAAAGGTAAGTAAGTCCCACGTTGAGGATCTGATAAAAATCGGTCAGGATTGAACTTCGTAGGTTCAGGAAAGTATTTTGGATCTCGATGAATAGAATAGATTGGTATCACTATTTGTTCTCCTTTTTCAATGGAAGTACCGTCTGGGAATGTGAAGTCATTGGTGCACTCACGATTCAACATCGAAACTGGTGGATTCAAACGCAAAGTTTCTGAAAATTAAAAATAATTTTTGCTATATAAATTAACAGAAAAGGTGGGAATATTTCATATAACTATTTTTTCAGTTCTATCCTATTTTCAATAAGTGAAGATGGCGATTCTACGGGAATTATATCTCCATGGTCTATATATATTTGAAGCTCTCTAAATCCTACCACTTGGTGCAAGCCTATTTTGTTTGGTCAAACATACGTTTTGACCTTAATTCCGTTCATATGCAACAGTGTAAAAGAGAGAAAATAAACGAACAACAATTTAGTTTGACGCCACTTTTTCAAATAGGTCGACTAACCTCATTTAGGTTGTAAGTGCAAATTTTGTATTTTAAAGTGAAACTACCAGATGTAATATGTTTCGAACATTTGGAAAGAAGTCTCGTAAAAACAGCATTTAACCAACCATCCCTTCATTGCATTTAATTAGCTGCGAGGCAACAGTAGAGTGGTTTTTATAAGTGTGTAGAAGGCTTAATAGTTAATGCACAAATGCATGTCTAAACTAAAAACGCCAATAACGGAACAATTTTAAACAATCGTAGTTTGAACTTGTAAGAAGATTAATCGGCTACTGTTAGTGACAGTATAAAGCAGGAAGAACCTTATTTATCTGAAAAGTCTCCAAACGTACAGGATTTCATGTGATTTTGAATCACCAATAATGGAACTGGACAATACAATATTACATTCAAACCTAATAAACTTGGCATTGGCTTTGCGAAATTGCCATAATTTCAAAAATTATTTATTCATTGGATAGCTAAATAGATTATCTACAACTATTATTCTATAAATTTTCCGAAGGTGTTGATCATAAATCTGCTGCACAAGCCCCAAATTTACAATTCGAAAAAATCCCAAAAAGTTAAATTTAGAAAATATTTGACTAATTTTGGATACATCCTCTGATCCAATTCATGTTGTAGCAACCCTTTTACACAGAACTTAATGATCTACATAAATTACATTGTTGAATTATTTTTAATAAACTAAGTAGTCGGTGCAAACTTATTTTCTTCTTCTTAGAGACAAAATAAAAAGAATAAAACCCTGGTATAATTTCAATTGACTTTTGGATGATTTTTATTTTATTTATCAAATAGTTTATTTTGATTTTTAATAATTTATTTGGATTTTTGTTTTTGAAAACTCATTTGTACAATTTTCTTGGTTGTACAAATAAAAACTCTATTTTAGTACAAATTTATTAAAATAAGTATAAACTACAAGAAATTTTAAAAAATGTGATATTTTTAAAAAATTATAATTGTTATTCTAACGGAAAACATTTGTAAGAGAAAAAAAAAACATCTATTCTCGGATTGTTTTTTTACAAAACTAATCTGCAAACCTCATTCAGTTTAACCTCATAAAATAAGAAAGTTTTTCTAAAAGTGGGACATTTGTAGTTCAGTTAATCGATAATCAATAAAAGATCGTATACACACCATGATTTTATTAAAAACAGAACAATTTAATTTAAAACTCCTTGCATTGGTATTGGTAATGAAAATTTTATCTAGTTTACTCATAAGATTTTTGGTCATTGCTTCAAATTCAATAAAATCTTAAATTACTTTAAAATACACAAACTTTCTCGTTTTCTGTGTGAAATCGTCTAGACGATTTTTTCGTTTTGTTTTGTTGCTCTGAAAGGCTATTGTCACTTTTTTAAATAGTTCCCATTATTTAAGGGACCTCCTGTATATTTAGCAATATTTGTTGAATAGGAGATAATATTGTTTTTAATTTATTTTAATATTTAGTTATCTACTTATTTAATAAATTTTATTGTATCTTATTTTACTTTTTAAGTAAGATTAAACTAACACAACCGAAATTTCACATAGCTCCATATACTCTACAACATCTGATACATTTTATTAGCATCTTTATTACCTGAAATACAGTTATCCAAGAACTTCAAGTCTTTGAGAGCATCGTAAGAAAATTGGCTATGCTTTTCTTTAATCCTCAGCACTTCTTGCCTAGCTCTTTCTTGGATTTCTGGATGTTGTGCTAATTGATAAATGAGGTAATGTAAGGTCCTGGATGTTGTTTCGAAACCACCCACAAAGAAAACAAATGACTGAGCCATGAGCAGACGATCTGTGATTTCTAAAATAAAAAAGTATTAGATATTTTCTAAGAACTTTTAAAAACTAACTACTATAGAGATAATGGTCGCATTGGAAACCAATTTAATTATAAAACATTACACCACTTATTAGTTTGAGCTAAGTTAAGGCAATGGATAGCAAATGTGATATCTGCTAGAACAATCAGACGAATTAAACGAAATATTAAAAAAATTAAGGTAGAGAATATACTTTCATGAAGCCAACTCAACCTAAACAGGAAAACAGGTAAATTATAATGAATGAGAAGAAATGGAAACTTGAAAGGATGCTACAAGTTAGCCGAAGATTACATATGGGGAAAGAAAAGGTGACAGATGATCGGAGTAATATGTCCTGTTCTTTAAAAACCAGTATGGACCAGTGCGCAAACTATAAAGAAATAGCTCTATTGGGAGTTGTCTTGATAAGTCTGCAAAAATATGTCGAAAAATTTTTGGAAGATTAACAATGTGGTTTCAGAGCTGGGAGAGTTGCCACAGATCAAATTTTTTTTTGCAAGACAAATTATTGAAAAATGCAATGAGTATAATATTTATCTCCACTTATTATTAGTCTACTGCAGCCAGAAACGGGTTGCTTTGATGAAAAAAAAATATTTGAAATCAACTAAGAGGAAAATAGAGCAAAATAATTAAAACAATGTGGCAACTGAAATCACTAACAGAAACGAGGAGATCGCAACGGAAAAGTTAAATGACGTTCTTATTTTCCTCAAGCTCAAATCGCTATCTTATAGGATTGGATATTATACTTAGAAAATATACTCTAATTATAATAAATTTCGGATACTGAATTGATTTTATTTTCTCCGATATAATAAGCTTTTCTTAAAATTAGAAGGTGCCATTATTTTTTAATAACAAAAAAATAAAGTAAATGAGGCCATGCCCATATTTTTATTCAGTAATTTGGTAACTAACAATCAAATTTTGAAGGCTCAATGTTATTGAAAATTGACTCCCCTGAACGAATACAAAAATGGACATGGTGTTCTTTACCTACGGGGTACATATATAACGTATAAAATTGGTACTTAAGGGATTAACTTATGACTAAGTGCTAGGTGACTTACCGATTTTTTCAATCTCATTATTTTCCTGAATTTCATTTTCTTCCTCATCCAAGTCGTTAACATCGATTTCCACAACTTCCTTTTCCTTTAACTGTAGTAGAAGTTGGACGAAATCTCTTCGTTTTATTCCAGTTTTCCTCCTATGCTCTAAAACATTACTTACGGTTGAACAGAAGTACTTCTCGATACCGGAAGGTAAAGATCGTACTTTTAGCCATAGCAGTAGGCGAGGAACTGAAAATTTCAGAAGGAATGATATCTGGGACCAATTAATGGACGTTGTGTCAAACAGGTCTTTACCCATTTGTCTAAGTTTTGAGTCGGGGTTTGTTAAGCTGTCACCTTCGAGTCCAAAGGCACAAGATCCTGAAATTAAATGACACTTATGAAGAATTAAAGACGATGTTTTAAGAATTATTGAATATTCACCCAAATTAATTAAATCGAATCCTTTAATTAATGATAGTATTTAAAAATTAACTGGTCTATTCGATCCGATGAATGATCTATTAGCACTCAGAAGATTTTATATCTAAATTATGGATTACAAGAAATTAGTCATTCTAATTTACATTTAATCCATTAATGAATAACATAAGAACTGAGTACGTAAAGTATTTTAACATCGAAACTCATATTTCGGTCTAAACATTTGAACCATCTTCAATTTTTGGAACCGAAATTGAAGGATTTTTCTAAGATTTTGTTCAACTCGTTTCACAATGATGACTTTTTTTTTCATAATTATAATTAATATTATCACACCTCAAGTAATAAAATGAAAAAATTTTTAACTTATTGATTTTATTTATTTCAATAATATGTTATATTACATATTATTAAAGAAAGAAAGTGATATTTCCTCATACCCAGTTAACAGGTTAAGAAAAAGTATTACCATTGTGCGAAATTTCGAATCTGAATTATCAATAGAAACAGAAGAGTTTTAAAGTCCCGTGAGTCTCAATAACCATGTATAGATGAATTTTTTATATAATCTTTTTCCTTAAAATTGACTTACCAATAGTGCTAATTTATATAATCAATATTAAACTGTTTTACTATTTCTTAAAATACTCTATCGATGAAGTCATTATAAGAAATAAATTATGTTGGGCATCAGATAAGTCTTTCTTCTGTTTTTCATCTTTAACTCGAAACGTTTCCCTGTTCGTTTAAAAATTATACTTCTTAAATGAAAACGTAAAAAAACTTTTTTAATTCTTTCATAGATATTTAGTTAATTTTAAAATTAATACCGAAAAATTGGGCATCGATGACCATGTAAGAAGGTAGTTTTAATCAAACCATCTCTTGACTTCGAACCGACGTTTTTTTAAGACGCTTCATTCATCACCTTCAAGCAACATTGAACTCCATGATTGTTGTATGATAAAAGAGGCACGAAAACTGAAATCAATCATTTCGTACATGATGCATTCTATTGTGTGAATATCTATATATTTTTTTAAAATTTATTTATTACTTGTACATAATAATATATATTATGTTATATATATAATATATTCATAAATCATATTTGTGTAATATCCTTTATAAATATGTATAAATAAAGAAAGTAAAGTCAACCGTTCGCTCAAAAATCTCAACACACCTTATAGCGAATTGATTAAATAAATCTGCTTCCGTCAGTGTTTTCAGCTGGAATTGTTTCAAAACACTCAGAGTATTTCACCGAATAATTTAAGTTATCTAACTCGAAAACTGACTTAGCCGTTCGCTCAAAAAACTGATGTATACATTTTATTAAATTGATCAAACAATTTTTATTTAATCACGGGCAAGTGTTTTCAGCTCAAATTGTTTCAAAACACTCAGATGAACTATCAGACTTAAAAATCAATCCAGCCATTCGCTTAAAAAATCGTTATATAGCTTTTAGCAGACAACCCAAACACATAATCCTCGTGTCGCTTCGCTAGGTCCGGTGAAAAACTTTTATTTTATTTTATATTTTCGTTTAATTATTATTTCTCATAGAAACATCGTATCCCACTAATTTTAAGTGGTTTCTCAATTCACATATATGCAATTTAATAATGTAGTTTACTTAACTAATTTAATACAATTAAATACTAATACTAATTAAAAATACAATTAAATTGTAGTTTGACTTACCTATGACATCTGTAGCATATCGTGCAAGCTCCTCTAGAACGTCTCGGTCCTTTCCATCTGCCAGTTTATCGAAGCATTCAGCAAAGACATCTCCACATTTCTCCATTTCTTCAAACATCCACCGGAGTTTACCACCGCTAAAGATGGGGCTCAATTTATTCCTGAGGTACCGCCATCTGTTTCCTCTCAAGAAGAATAGATGAGCGTCAAGTGGATTGACTTCCTCATCAATCTCGAAGTTCCTGTCGAAGAAGTGGTCAAACGAGGAAATGAGTACTTGGTGTACGTACTCCGGATCACGTACCATGAGAAAAGGAAGAACAGTCTGGAAAAAACCGCCTAGAGGTTTGCCTTCCAGTTGTTTATATATTTTATCCCAACTATGAGCTGCAAAAATAAATTGCATAATTTCAGTTCTATCCTATTTTCAATAAGTGAAGATGGCGATTCTACGGGAATTATATCTCCATGGTCTATATATATTTGAAGCTCTCTAAATCCTACCACTTGGTGCAAGCCTATTTTGTTTGGTCAAACATACGTTTTGACCTTAATTCCGTTCATATGCAACAGTGTAAAAGAGAGAAAATAAACGAACAACAATTTAGTTTGACGCCACTTTTTCAAATAGGTCGACTAACCTCATTTAGGTTGTAAGTGCAAATTTTGTATTTTAAAGTGAAACTACCAGATGTAATATGTTTCGAACATTTGGAAAGAAGTCTCGTAAAAACAGCATTTAACCAACCATCCCTTCATTGCATTTAATTAGCTGCGAGGCAACAGTAGAGTGGTTTTTATAAGTGTGTAGAAGGCTTAATAGTTAATGCACAAATGCATGTCTAAACTAAAAACGCCAATAACGGAACAATTTTAAACAATCGTAGTTTGAACTTGTAAGAAGATTAATCGGCTACTGTTAGTGACAGTATAAAGCAGGAAGAACCTTATTTATCTGAAAAGTCTCCAAACGTACAGGATTTCATGTGATTTTGAATCACCAATAATGGAACTGGACAATACAATATTACATTCAAACCTAATAAACTTGGCATTGGCTTTGCGAAATTGCCATAATTTCAAAAATTATTTATTCATTGGATAGCTAAATAGATTATCTACAACTATTATTCTATAAATTTTCCGAAGGTGTTGATCATAAATCTGCTGCACAAGCCCCAAATTTACAATTCGAAAAAATCCCAAAAAGTTAAATTTAGAAAATATTTGACTAATTTTGGATACATCCTCTGATCCAATTCATGTTGTAGCAACCCTTTTACACAGAACTTAATGATCTACATAAATTACATTGTTGAATTATTTTTAATAAACTAAGTAGTCGGTGCAAACTTATTTTCTTCTTCTTAGAGACAAAATAAAAAGAATAAAACCCTGGTATAATTTCAATTGACTTTTGGATGATTTTTATTTTATTTATCAAATAGTTTATTTTGATTTTTAATAATTTATTTGGATTTTTGTTTTTGAAAACTCATTTGTACAATTTTCTTGGTTGTACAAATAAAAACTCTATTTTAGTACAAATTTATTAAAATAAGTATAAACTACAAGAAATTTTAAAAAATGTGATATTTTTAAAAAATTATAATTGTTATTCTAACGGAAAACATTTGTAAGAGAAAAAAAAAACATCTATTCTCGGATTGTTTTTTTACAAAACTAATCTGCAAACCTCATTCAGTTTAACCTCATAAAATAAGAAAGTTTTTCTAAAAGTGGGACATTTGTAGTTCAGTTAATCGATAATCAATAAAAGATCGTATATAAACCATGATTTTATTAAAAACAGAACAATTTAATTTAAAACTCCTTGCATTGGTATTGGTAATGAAAATTTTATCTAGTTTACTCATCAATTTTTTGGTCATTGCTTCAAATTCAATAAAATCTTAATTTACTTAAAAATACACAAACTTTTATCTTATTTTATATTTTCGTTTAATTATTATTTCTCATAGAAACATCGTATCCCACTAATTTTAAGTGGTTTCTCAATTCACATATATGCAATTTAATAATGTAGTTTACTTAACTAATTTAATGCTAAGCATTACAAATACAATTAAATTGTAGTTTGACTTACCTATGACATCTGTAGCATATCGTGCAAGCTCCTCTAGAACGTCTCGGTCCTTTCCATCTGCCAGTTTATCGAAGCATTCAGCAAAGACATCTCCACATTTCTCCATTTCTTCAAACATCCACCGGAGTTTACCACCGCTAAAGATGGGGCTCAATTTATTTCTGAGGTACCGCCATCTGTTTCCTCTCAAGAAGAATAGATGAGCGTCAAGTGGATTGACTTCCTCATCAATCTCGAAGTTCCTGTCGAAGAAGTGGTCAAACGAGGAAATGAGTACTTGGTGTACGTACTCCGGATCACGTACCATGAGAAAAGGAAGAACAGTCTGGAAAAAACCGCCTAGAGGTTTGCCTTCCAGTTGTTTATATATTTTATCCCAACTATGAGCTGCAAAAATAAATTGCATAATTTTAAACACTTTATCACTCTTCGCTATTCGAAATTTAACATTAAAACATGAAATTTAAGGCCAAAATCATATGATGTCCTATTATATCCTAAATGCTTATATTTATAACCATGACATATCTCCTTTTTTAATGGATTAATTGGAAATTTATTTGACAATCAAGATGCATACAAGATAAATAGACAATACTCACCGATGTGTATTCTAAACAAAATGCCTTGTGGCTCACTTCCTAGAGGGAACGTTGGTTCAACATAAGGAATGTTCCTGTCTTTGTAGTACCTAAACATCTTCTTGATCTTGTAGTAAGCCAGCGCCAACAAAGAGAAGGCTGCTATTGCGATATACATTACCCAAGACATTATTAAGTCTGCAAAAAAAAAAAAAAATCAGAAAATAATATTAATTAGTTTAAACCAATAATTAATTTAATAAATGAGGTGAACAGAATTGTGTGGACTAAGTATTATTTTTCTAGAAGACTACGAAGGGGTTTCCATAATCAAATTAACTTTGAGCTCAAATTAACGGTGATCTTACAACCTAGTATTTTTACAATAGTTCTATGTTTTTCAGTAGAAGAATTTAATTATGTATTGTGATTTGTAGTAGAAGAAACCTCTTACTTGAATGAAAAAAAATTGACATTTACAGAACTATGAGTCCCGTCACTGGACTTAAACACACCATAACTACAAATAATGATACTGTGTGTCCTTCGATGAAGAAAAAGGATACATATACGTGAGATATAATTCCTCCAAGAGTTCTTCTGCCGTTCTATAGATCCAGGTATTGTACCCACACTCCACTATAATTTCTTTGGAATTCGATTTTAACCAGTCTTAAAAGAATTTTTAATTACGGCACTTCTTAGGCCAGGAAAGTACTGAAAAACATATTTTGAGTAGCCTCTAATGAATTTAGAATTATTTATAAGCCCATTCAGTTAAAACAGGAAAACATAAAAAAAATGTATATGATCTCGAGAGGATAACGATACTGAAGATTTCAAAGGAAAGTTGATAAATGGTTCTTGACAAAAGGAATATCAGCAGTGGAAATGTAATAGCCAAAATAATCTTAAAAATTACTTCCTTGAACGAGTCCAAATACCTTGAAAATACTCCTTAAGGAAACTAAATTTTCGCATCAGCCAATATTTGTGATACTTTCCCTCAACTCTATTAATTTATCAGCTTGGACTTATCACCTTTGCCAGTTAGTTTTTTAAATCCCACACCACTTGTTCTAGATATTCCTGATGCAAGAAACGGTTTTACTTAGAATTGGTTGATAGAAGTTCATCCAATGGTTAGATTTCTACTGCTAGAGACAGCCAGCTTAGATGGAGGATAGTGGTCGATGTACTTTAAAGACTACATTGACGCTCCACGGTGCACTAAGTGTCAGGGCTAGGGTCATACTAAGGCAACTTGCCCAGTAGACGGCGTAGTCTTTATCTGGTCCCCAAAAAAATGATTTGACTGGTCCGACCTGTATAAACTGCGAGCGGGCCGATGTCCCATCTAGCCAACGTAGGCACAAATCGTGAATTCCCTGTGCACTTAAATTGGGCCAAAGAGGTGGCAAAAGAACAATTTTTATTCACCATCCTCCAACTGAATATGGGCCGCCGACGCATCGTGGCAGACGAACTTCGAGCTCTCTCCCAGCTATTCGACGTCATGGCGGTCCAGGAACCATGCTGCCGTGAGAACATGATAACGGGGTTCGGCCTCACATCTAGTGTTATCGCCCTGAGCAGTGGACTGAGGAGGCCCATAGCTGCTAAAACACTGGCCATCCTCTTGAGAGGTTGGACTGATAGGGCCCACCCTATTACAATGGTTGTCCAGGGATCAAGAATACGTCCGAGTGAGGTTGTCACCTACCTCGGAGTTAGAATTGGAAGAAATTTCAACGTAAAACCTCACTTGGACTATTTCAGAAGTAGGATGACCCTAGCGCTTAATGGACTCATTCGTATCGGAGATGCCTTTTGAGGCCTCAGATACGCAGCGACTAAGACCATTTATAAAGGTGTAGATCTGGGTATTCTGATGTAAGCATCCCCTGGTTGGTTTCTGAATCTCTCGCATCACCAGAAGTGCAAGTTAGCTTCAATTCAGCGGACGGCTCTGCTGCAAGTCACCAGAGTTTACAGGACAGTGTCTCATGAGGAAGAACAGGTCCTGGTAGGAGGTGTTCTTTTCTACCTCCTGTTGCAGGAAGACATGCTAAAGTATCAGGTTTCAAGAGAAGGCTCGGCAGGCCTACCAGAGAATCTCCGTGAGAAGATTAACCAAGAACCAGGCAGATGGAAAAAGATAATACAAGAGTTCACTCTTGACGAATGGAAGCAGCAATGGGTAACTCTGAGGAAATATCTTTACCACCATTGGTCTCGGTTAGCAGCAAAATGGGTGGAACCTGATTATTGGGTATCCCAGTTAATAACTGGACACGGGGGCTTCCGAGCAAAGCTTTTTCAATTTGGTAAGAATATGTCCCAAATGCGGAGTCCCAGAGATATATGGAGTTTATGAAATTAAAATATTGTTTTCCTAGCAGCAATGTGTTGTTACGCAGAAACAGTACATCTTACTGCTGCTAAAACCCGTATTGCCTATCAGGCACGGCAGGAATGTCAATATATAAATAAATAAAGTTAGTTTTTAAATCTTGAGTATCCTGCTTTTCTGATTCTTTATTATTTAAAAATTAATTCCTACACTCATAATACATTGTAATTACATATTTCCTTATTTTATTACCGTCTGTCAACTGACTTCGCATATATTAGACGAATTATTCGCTCCGGCCAATTCAATTACTTAAATTAAATATTTCATTAGTTATCGGTTCCTCGAGTTTATAAAATATGCTGTAATGTGGAAAGGTTTAGTTCATAGGTCATGTTTGAAATGTTTGTATAACGTGGCTAATTCTTAATAACAAAGTGAACGATGATGAACTTTAAAGAAATTAGTCCCAACTTCTTGACTAGTTGGATTTTTCAATTTTTGTGTATGAGAACTTTTAGTCCAAATGCTTATAGCCCTCCAGCAGTGGCTGATTGTATTATTATTCAATAAATAGATTTTTTTTTAAAAATTTGTGTAGAGCTGTATTGGTTATTCTCCAACACTATGGCTATATTTTTATTATTAGGAGAGAGAGAAAAATGTAGCCTCAAAAATAAAATTATAACAGTTATTTAAAACCAAACATTGCAAAACCTAGTTTATTTTTGTGTGTCATTCCTCTCCTATCTTCTTTACTTTAACACTTATCTTAAATTGTTTGTCTAGAACAATTATGCCTGAAAGAACATTTTCATCACGACGTTATAGTAAAGTTCATAATTGTATTTTTTGAAAACACTGTTGGCGTATTTTTATGGTCAATATTTTAGTTTTCGTTCCGAAAATCGTCTAGTAACATTCGTTATTTCGTATACATTTATTTTAGTTTATCAAACCGTTGTGAAAATGACTAGAAAATGAAGGCTGTAGTTATTTCAGAGATACAAAACTAATTCAAATTAACATTTATTTGCAATTCCACATGATTCGAAATAGCACTGCTTTCGATTCAAAAGTTTTGTTATGACAGTTATTCTAAGTATAATCAATCTAAACAATTAAATTTTGTAATAAATTAAAGGAAACAATAAACCAGTATGTCCTAAACGATTGCACTATTTTTTAAATAAATAATCATACTGATTTATTCTATAGAAACTTATCACAATAGAAACAAATCACATGTTTCCAAGGAAATTTAATTCAATTTCCTAAATGTAATCTTTTAAAATTATTAAAATTATATTGTAAAATTATTAAAATTACTTTGGGGTTCCGCAAAACCCACACACATAAACCTGATTCAAACCACACAATCCAAAATACTCCGTAAAATCGTCAATGCTCCTTGGTTTATTTCAAATCATACCATACACACAGACATGACATACCAAAAGTAAAATCCTACATACACAACAAGTACACAACATTTCACTCTTCTACTCTCAATCATCCAAATCCACTCGTTCTATCTCTATCTTCCCTCCTGTTACCTGGTGAGCCTCAAAGATTCGTAAAAAGGCAATGGCCTCGAGATCTGCTGAAAAGTTAAGAAAATATCAGGAATTTAAGAAGATATAATTAACGCCAACACATTTGCTTGATGCGTTCCAACGCAGTGGCATATTTAAAATAACAAAAATAAATAAATAAAATAAAATTATTTTTAAAAGTTTGAAAAAGAAGTTTGAATAGATTTTAGTCAATTTTACAAATAAAAGATAAGAGCTTCATAACAGATATAATGTTATTCAGATTTAGTGCCTATAAGTTTTACTACGCAGTACAATCCATACGTAACGTAAATAATCAGGTGTACTTTTTAAATCTGCCTTGGTATATATACATAACAGACTGGAGTTATGTGGTTAAAAAAATAGCTGGGGTTAGGTTTCCATTGCCTACCGTCGATATAATAAAAAGAATTTGTGTTATTTTAATAGTCTTAATGAGTATTTACAGGTTAATTTAAAGTTTAGCATCGTTAAAAATCGACTTCACAAACTTTGCGATAGCGCAACTTTTTGCCAGAGAATAATTTCTATTCAAAGTTAAGCGGTAAGAGAAAGTTGTGAGATATTTTTCATCATATATTTTTTTTTATTTGAAATCTCAAAAGCGGTAAATAAAGTTGGTCATATAAACCTAATATTATACAGTTTTTAAGAGAAGAAATACCATCTTTCCTAATTCGAAAATAATATGAGAAATACTTATTTCTCTATTCACAATTATGAAAACAAACATACCTCATTTATTCACAGCTCTTGCCAAAGACATGAGCTCGTCGAGCTGCTAAGAAACTAACCTGCCTCTCCCGATAAAGATGAGATATCAAATGTGACATTGAGGATATCGTATTTATCTATAATGTAATATAATTGGCTTTTGTTATACAATCAACGAAAAATATATCAAAATCACCTCGTTCATTGGCCCTGGTATAAATTTAGGAAATATAGCTTACGAAATTTAAAAAATCAGTATTTTTTGGAATGTAAAAAACTTATCCGTAGTAGATTTTTTCTGATAATGTTAGATTTTGAAGGTGACCCTTACTCAAAGGGAAATACAAAGGTTTTCTTGGGTCCTTAAAAGTGGTGATCACCGTATTCTGAAGTAAGAAAGAAACCAAGAGGCCAAGGGATGATTTTTTCCGACCACTTGTGAAATATTAAATTTACCATTGAAACCCCACCTCGTCACTTATAATGAATGCAATGAAAATATTATGTCAATATTTTAATATTATTTAATAACAATATTTTCAATGTTATTTATATTTTATTTTAAAGTAAATTTAAAACTTAAAAAATTATAACACACCCTTGGTCCATAGCCACACTGCCCTATCTCGAAAAAAGAAAAGTTCAAAATAATGTGTTCTTTTTGTTTTTGTTTATTTAATCAAATTTACAACTCGTGATAATCGTACTCTTAAGTAGGAAATACACCATGCGCCCAATTGATGATTTTAATCTATACAATGATTTTTCTGACCTCCTGTCAAATATTAAATTAAATATTGAAACCCTACCTCGTCATTTACGATGAATCTAATTAAAATGTAATGTAATGTTATCCCCACGTGTATTATTACAGTTAGGCCCAAAATCGGTTTTGTACCAAATAAAAGCTCCTGTCATGCTCAAATACCATGAATAGAGTACCGTTGGATTCAGAATTTCACGGGGATTAGCGAATTCTCCGCTTTTGTTTTTAAAATAAATAAAGTCAGTAGAAACATTTTGCTAGGCTTCAATACTGGAAGGGTGGTAAATCTGTAGATCGATACGGAACAAATTTGGCATTGAAGATTTTGATGCATACATCGATCTTAAGCCCAAAAATCTGGTGCGGTGTGCGCATCACACAACTTTCACTTATTATCTTCTTAATAGAAATAAGTATTTTCAGACAAAGTTAATTAAAAGTAAAAAATATAGACGCTATATTTATTTATATTTCATTTTGGGTATCTTTATTTGTACAAATACTCTTATATGTACAAATTTTAATATTTATATCACTGTAATCTATACAATTAAATATCAAATAACACTAACAATAGGATTTATGAAAATCGCATATGTACATAATATTGTCGGAGTCCGTATTTTTTTTTTTTTTTCATATTCTCTTTTTATTTATTTTTCACTTGGAACCTTTTCATTGTTTTTATAGTAGTCCTTTTAGTGCTTAAAAGCATTGTAAGGTGTATTTTTTGATTTTTTGTCGTTTATGAGTACTTTGTTCTTCATCTGTAATATAACAGGTGATGGGGCTCACCTCAGGCTTGAGTTGACCTTATACTCTAGAGCTTACACCTAAATTAATAAAACATATATCTCATGAGATTTGTTGCCAACGTTTTGGAATTTGGGCTGGTAATAATTTGTTGAAAAGAGGGTTTGCCAATTGTTGGGATTTTTCGAAGAATGATTTTTTTCGTTTTGCCAGAAATTCGTTTATAGTTGATAAATTTAGTGTTGCTTGAATATCCAATGTCTTCTTTCTCTGCAGCGTGGTTCCTCTTACAATTTTTCTAATTATTCCATTTTGGAAATATTGTAATCTTTTCAGAGTTGTTTTGCTGATGTGTTCGAACAGAGGTGCACCATACAACAAAGCCGGCCGTATAATACTTGTATAGACTAGAAGCTTTAGGCGTAAAGATAAGTTTGTTGTCCGAATTAAATTTTGGAGTCTGTATGTCTTAGATCTTACTGTTTTAATTTTTTTGTCAAAATGTCTAGTAAATTTTAAATGTCTGTCGAAGTGAATACCGAGATATGTTAAGTCAGTCGATAATTTAATACTGTTATTGTTAATTTTGAATTCGTTTGGCATTTTCTTTTTTCCTTTTTGGTATGAAAATATAATTCCTTTCGTCTTTTCAGTGTTAACATCTATGTTGAGGATTTTTAGCTGTTCTGCAATTTTTTCACAAGTTATTTCCGCCTGCTACATAGCTTTTTTGGCATTCATACTACTACCTGAGACAGCAATGTCATCAGCAAATGCTGTCATGGTAGCATGTTGGTGTTTAGTTCCCACTATTTCCGCAGTATATAATAGGAAAAGAACGGGAGATAAAACAACTCCTTGGGATTACATCGGAAGCTCATGTTAAAACATCATTTAACTTCATATTTTGAGAGAGAGAGAAAAAATGTAGCTTCAATAATAAATTTATAACAGTTATTTATAGCCAAACGTTATAAAACATAGTTTATTTTAAAGTGTTATTCGTCTCATATCTTCATTAGTTGGAGTCTTATCTTAAATGTTTTGACAAGACTATCAAGCGTGAAAGAACCTTTTAATCACAACGTAATATACTAGTAGTAAAATACGAAATAATATTTTTTTAAAATACTGTTGGCTTATTTTTTGAAAATACCGTTGGCGTATTTTTGAAAATAGTGTTAGAGTATTCTTATGTGCCATATTTTTGTTTTTGTCCTTAAAATCGTTCAATAGCATTTGTTTATTGATATACATTTATCTTAGTTTATCAAGCCATTGTGAACTCAACTAGAAAAGGAAAGTTGTGGGTTATTTCAGAGGTTGTAAATGTAATTGAAACAAATATTTATTTTCAATGCAGGTCCGCAGCAAAATGTATCCCTTTAAAATTCCACAGGATTCGAAATAGCACTGAATCGGACTCAAAAATGCCAGGATACAAATCTGTTTTAATCTGATTCTTAAACTTCTTATTAAATAATGATATCAAAAACAAACGAAAATTGTAAGAAAACAATATTATAAAAGTATTAACATTACTATAAAATTAAATTTCTTTAAATGCATATACAAAAAAGTGTAGAAACCTTAACTAAATAAGTACTACATAAATTAAAATATTCTTAGAGACTTGAAAGGGAATGTAGTGAATTATTTAGATGCATTAACACATTTATTTACAGCCATTTAGTTTTTGAATTTTTACAAACAGTCCATTTTTAGGAGTAACAAAATCTGTCCACGGATTTAACTCAACCGGTTCCTTATTTGAAGTACTTGTTTCAAAACTGTACCTTTCTAGCAATCTTGACATGGCAATTTTAATCTCAACCAGAGCGAATCTTTTTCCTGAAAAGAAAGAGTACAATATGAATAACTTGCTGTGATTTCATCCATAATAAATTATTTAGGAAAAATTGAGAGCATAATATCAGTATAATTTTTATGTTGCTTGTAAATTTGTAGATTAGTTTTCTTACCTATGCAAATTCTAGGACCATCGCCAAAAGGTAAGTAAGTCCCACGTTGAGGACTGGAATCAAATCGATCAGGATTGTACTTCATAGGTTCTGGATAGTATTTTGGATCTCGGTGAATTGAAAAGGTTGGAATCAATATTTGTTCTCCTCTTTTAATAGAGCTACCATCTTGAAACGTGAAGTCTTTGGTGCACTCTCGATTTACCATACCAACTGGTGGATAGATACGCAAGGTTTCTGAAAATTGTAAAATATGTTTTCCAATTACAACCTTAAGGACATTTTCCTACTAACATTATTTCATATAACTGTAAATCTTTAGATTTTTATTTCTTGTTCACTATTATTCAGTTTTTAAGAGGTAAGGAAAGTGATCTTTCAGAAGTTATAACTTCATGGTAAACAAAGTTTTCAAAATATTCACTCTATACACACAAGGTTAAATAGATTAAAGTTAACAAAAAAAAATTGTCTTAATTTTCATTTTAGCCAATTTCAAATATGTCACTTATGAAATGTCAAACTTTGTTGTGTATTTTAACTAAAATGGTTTAAAGGACCAAAGATATATGAAAGCTTTAATTAAAAAAAAAAAAAAACTATAAAAAGTTTCTGAAATACTTTACTAGTATATAAAGAAAAAAAGTTATTATATATTAATTATATAAAAAAGTTTGGAGACCTCTGCTTAAATGATAATGTTAATTTTTTTTTTTTAAGTTGTTTGCAATTTTTTTGTTATATTTATATTACAAATTTCTTAATTTGTTCACCGTGAGAGGCCTATGGTTTGGGTCTCGCGGAACTATCCCAAAAAGAACAAGGAGCTTCCTCGAGGAACTAGGTGTCGACATTAAGGACGTAGCGAGGTTGGCTAAAAATATAGTCCTCGACTCCCTGAGAATCATTCACCACCACGTGCATGGCTAGCCCGAGAGTTTTAATTTATGTATTTATTTATTTATTTAATGAATAATTGAAAACAATAGAGATAAAGAGAGAGAAGTGAGAGAAAGGGAAACTAAATGTTAAAGGAAAGAAAACAAAAAAAAGCATAAACAATGAAAGGAAGAAAAAGGAAAAAAAAAAAAAAAAAAAGAAATGGAAAAAAATATAATAAAAGTGTATATATATATATATATATATATATATATATATATATAATATATATATATATATATATATATATATATATATATATATATATATATATATATTTTACTAATATTAAGTAAGACTTTTGTATATTTATATATAAGTTCATATATTGTCCTAAGGATAGAAGAGTATGCTGTGTGTATAGCAACCCAATATAATTGGGCAGCAATCCTTTATATTTTATATTTTATGAAAATAAAGTGTTTCTCTCTAATATTATGTGTTTGTACTTCATTTATAAAAAAAGTGCCATATGTCACGGTAAATGTTTAAAATAATTTATTGCAGAGCTTTGAAAAAATTAAAAATAAAAATATTTTTTAAAAGTTTCGGAACACAGGAATTTTCACGGTCGATAGTTTTTCTGTTCTCATGGAACTTTTTTTCTAGCAACTTTTATATTTAAAATAAAAATGATTACATAAATATTATTTTATTATATTAGTTATGTATAAAAATCTTTTATTTAATAGTTTTGTCAACTTCGCTAAATATGCGACCTAAAAACTAGCTTTAATTAATTGCTACTCAAACGACACTTCAGATTCACGTGTAATTCATTTAGTGCAAATTATAACCCTAATCTAAGCTCTATTTTTCATTTAACAGAACTTTTTTTAAGAACTTGAATAAATATAAGTTAAACTTATATTAATAGACCTGGAATTTTATTACAAAAAAGTTCCTAAGAACTTTTATTTTTAAAACTTTTTTCCTAAAAAGTTTCACAGAAACTGTTAAAATTCCAACAGAAACTGTTAACGTTTCAATCCCTGATTAATTCTTATTATTCTTACTGAAAATATCGGTACACAAAGGGAACAAAATTTCACCGCATATAGTCTTTATATAAAATTAATAATAAATGTGTATGTATATATAAAATAAAAGTGTCAATCTCAGCTTATTCCGTAACAACAACAACTTATTATAATAGACTTAAAGCTTATAAAACTAGAAAGATTTTCTAAAAGTCAAAAATCTATTGTTCAGCTAATTAGTTATAAAAAAAATTAAATAATCTAGGATTTAATAAAACACAAAAATTTGCGTGGTTTATGCGCTTAAAACTTTCTTTAAATGGTTTTAACAAAGACAAATTCTAACAAATTTAGCTTCTTTTTTTTTACCTGAAATGCAGTTGTCCAAGAACTTTAAGTCTTTGAGGGCGTCATAAGAAAATTGTCCATGCTTTTCTTTAACGGCCAAAACTTCTTGCCTGGCCCTTTCTTGAATTTCCGGATGTAGAGCTAATTGATAAATGAGGTAATGTAAGGTCCTGGACGTTGTTTCGAAGCCAGCCACAAAGAAAACAAATGACTGTGCCATGAGCAGACGGTCTGTGATTTCTAAAAAAAAAATATTTGGTATTTTTAAATGAAATATTAAAAACTAACTATTTAACAAGTGAATGTTCTATGGTGATGATCAAAGAGGATGTAAAATTAACAGTAAAACGCCTGAGAGGTATAAAGAGCTTCCTAGCTACATAATTTCCTAGCTATATAATTCTATAAGCTACATAATTTCCTGTAACTTTTGTATCATCATAAGGTCACTGATTTTTCGCTTATTTAAAATCAATGGAATGAGTCGTTCTGCACTAACCATGTCAAGGAAAATGCATTTTTGCATGATTAAGCAAAATTAAGCAAAACTAACGAATCGGATTAGATAAAATTTATATCGGATCTTTAATACATTCGTCACGATTTGCCTCCAACTTCGATCATTTATGAAATCGAAAGAGTATCGTCGAGATAATAACCCACAAAATTCCTGTAAATGAAACTAGCGGTAATAGAGTTTATAAAAATTTGATAGCGGATAGATTTCAAATTTGTCCCTTGCTGTCAAACCGTAATGGTAGTGATAAAACTGGGGGATCAAGACTCCAGACTGAATCTTCTTTCCTTCCCCTAAGAACCAAGGGATAAATCTATTATTCCTTCATTACAAACCTATTGGATTATAATAAAAACCAAATGGGACGACCATTAAACTGGGCAGTCTACACTGCTTGTCTTCATTGATAAAAATTGGATGGTTTTTGAGAGAAGGCGTAAGAAAGTAGAAACCCCTCCTCCTCTCCCCTCCCGTGGTGCCCATTCACCCTAAGGACGATGGATCATCTGAAAACAATGTATGTATTGTTTTCAATAAAACTATCATTTAATTAATAAAAATCGAGCTTTGGGGCTTTATTAAACCATCAAATTCCTCTCGTATCCAATCTAAAATCATTCGTAAAATCCTCAATGCTTCCTATTTTCTCACAAATAAAATCATCCATTACAACCTTAATGTACCATATGTTTCCGATTTAGCTCAATCCAGATAACTATCCATGCGTAATAAACTTTTGAACCATCCGAATCCTCTTGTTTCCAACCTTGCTTTCTCTTCTATTCATGATAACCCTCCGAGGCGTCTGAAAAGAAGGTAGCCTCGGGACCTTCTAATATAGAAACATAATTGGAGTGCTACCAATGGCTAGTTTCTCTTCATGTTGTACATATCATGTTACTTGTTTCATATTTACTTGTTGTATTTACCATTTAATACACTTCTAAATTTCAATAACAAAAAAAAATTAATAAATGATATAAAAAATAAAACTAAAGCGCTCTAGTGGTGGTTAGGGGTGGTTGGGGCACACAGCTGCTTTGAAATGGGAGTTTTTAAAGATAATTTTATAAAGAATTCACATTCAATTCACATTCATAGTTCATATTCAAACCATCTTCTCTAAAGGAACTGCTTGTATCACTATATAAATAATCTCTATAATAATATTATAATCTCTATAATATCTCTATAATCTTATTATTCGAATTTCAAAGCGACCGCTTAGTCCATTTGACACTTAATCCGCCTCTGTTTCAAGGGCTAAATTATTGGTGTATGACTTACCAAATTTTTCAATCTCGTCATTTTGCTGACTGTTGTCTTCTTTTTCATCAACATCGTTAGCATCAATCTTCACAACTTCCTTTTCCTTTAACTGAAGTAGGAGCTCCACAAAATCTTTGCGTTTTATTCCGGTTTTCCTCCTGTGTTCCAATACACCACCTATGGTTGAACAGAAGTACTTCTCCATATCGCGAGGTAAAGATCGTACTTTTAGCCAATGGAATAGGCTAGGAAATGAAAATTGCAGAAGGATAACTATCTGGGTCCAATTAATCGTTGTTGTGTCAAAAAGGCCTTTACCAATTTGTCTAAGTTTTGAGTCAGGGTTTGTTAAGCTGTCACCCTCGAGTCCAAAGGCACAAGATCCTGGAACAAAATAATGAGTATTACCTATTTATTATAAGAATTATTTAATGTAAGCTTAAAGTAATTAAATCAACCATCTTAGTGAGTGATGGTATATTTAAAAATTAACTTATCTGTTTTATTCCAAAAGTTTTAGATTTAATTATAGATCATCGGATAATCAGTTGAGTTTGTTTCAAAAATTATATTATATTATATTAAGAAACGATGTTAAATATTCAATCCGACTTTTCGGCATAAAAACGTGGACATTCTGAAATCACTTTTTAGTAGAAAGATGTATAAGAAATGTTATAAACAACTTTGTTTTGTCTCGCGAAACATTTACAAACTAGACTATTATCTACACTCTACCACTTCCACCTTTAAAATCAAAGGATCTTGAAGTGATGTTTAGTTTCACCAAATCATAATTTAAACAGTAAAATTAACATGGGATCCGGAAAACAAAATGAAGGAATCGTTGGCAGTGAGCTCACGGATGCGGCAGCCAAGCAAGCGCTCACCCTTCCGCCGCCATCTTAACTTTGCAAGATACAAGTCTTCCTCTCAAAAAATAAATACTTCATAGCTGGCAGTCCATGTGGAATGAGAGCCCACCAAGCAAATTAAGAGATATTAAACAAACAGTAAAGCCGTGGCCGACATCAAATCGCCCTATCAGCAAAAATGAAGTTGTCTTAACCAGACTAAGAACAGACAACACTAATCTAACCCATTCACATCTTATTAGCAAACAACTCCACCAAGAATGTTCTTTTTACATCTCAAATTTAATCAATTCAAGACTTACACCACCGATACCAAATATTCTAAAAAAAAAATGACGAAGACACGATAAAGTTAATGCTACACTTTATGAAACCAAACAACTTATTGAATAAAATTAAAAAACTCTTAAAGATTTAAGTCGGAGATAAACAAAAGTAATCTACAAGCGTTGATTACCTTGAAGTTTTACGCCTCAAAGCCCCAACCAACAACAATAAGAAATTAGAATAACACTGTAACAAAATCTTTGATATTACTTTTACATGCTTTTTATTATTTTAATATCTTTAAACTCCGAGGCGTCTGAAAAGAAGATGGCCTCGAGATCTCCTTTTGTAAATACATTTTTAGAGTGCTACCAGTAGGTAGTTTCTCAACAAATGATTTCAGGTTATTATATTCTTTTGTTCACATTTACTGAATTTATTTTTATTTGTAACACAGTTGTAAATATCATCAATAAAAAAAAAAAATTAAAAATAGATTAGGAAACAACAGCTGAAGGAGTTTTATAAAAAGTTAAAGAAATTTGGAAAAACTCGGAATTGGAAAAGCATGGAATGTTGTCTGAGAAGATCTAATAAATGCCTAATTAAATGTTGAACTAATAAATGTTTGGAAAAATTATTAATAAGAGTATGAATTATTAATATTGTGTGAACAGATTTTATTGACCAACATCAGTTGGCCTAAAGAAATATGTCTTATTATTTATTTTCGTTTTGATTTTTACTTACACTTAACATTGTATCCCACTGATTATAAACAAATATAGTTAATAATTGTATATTAATGCGAAAAATGTAATCTTTTCGACTTATTTACTTTCAGTGTTTTAAATACAAATACTCTGCTATTAAAATAAAACATAACATTACTTACCAATAACATCTGTAGCATATCGTGTTAATTCCTCAAGAACGTCTCTGTCCTTTCCATCAGCCAATTTATCAAAACAATCGACGAAGGCAACTCCACACTTCTCAATCTCCTCGAACATCCACCGGAGTTTAACACCACTAAAGATGGGGCTCAATTTATTCCTGAGGTACCGCCACTTGTTACCTCTCAAGAAGAATAGGTGAGCGTCAAGTGGATTGACTTCCTCGTCAATCAGGAAGTTCCTGTCGAAGAAGTGGTCAAATGAGGATATGAGTACTTGTTGTACGTATTCCGGATCACGGATCATGAGTATCGGGGTGATACTCATGAAGAACCCTCCTATCGGATTCCCTTCCAATTTTTTATATATATCATTCCAACTATCGACTGCAAAAAAAAAAAAGTAAATTATTTTAGATAATGTATTACACACTATTTGAAATATCGCATTGAATCTAAACCCAATATCTTAACAATTTAAAAATATTATATACTAAATTTTTAAAATTATACCAATGAAATATTTTTTTTTATCCTATAATTGAATATTTATCTTAATAATAATCAATCTGCGTGTAAGTTAAATAGATAATGTGACTTACCAACGTGTTTTCTAAAAAAAGCGAATCCAGGATCACTTCCCAACGGAACTGACGGTTCGACGTAAGGAATATTCCTGTCTTTGTAGTACCTAAAGATCTTCTTGATCTTGTAGTAAGCCAGCGCCAACAAAGAGAAGGCTGCTATTGCGATATACATTAGCCAAGACATGTTTTAATGCTGCAAAGAAAAACACAAAACCATACGTTTAAGTAGCTTAAATTTTGGAGTTTAAATTCAAAGCCTGTCAAAATGTCCTCTCCTCCTTAATAATTAAAACAGTCAGGAAATGTTGGGCTATTAAACCCTCTTCTGGGTACCTCTGGTATTAGTGAATGCGAAATTAACTGAAATTTCATTGAAAAGTGCCTAATCCCGATTTCGGACCTTAAATTCCTATCAAAAATTACATTTTAATGATTTCCATACGAGCATAAGTTCCTTGGGAAACTTATTACTTTTTTTTTTGGATTTTCAAGAATTAAAAAAAAAAATATTTTTAAACACATTTAAGTTTAGATATATAATATATATTTTTGGAGATAAAGATGGGATATATTATTTATCCAAGGTATTTAATTCCTGTTTATTTATATATTCAAACTTATATTGTTTCAATATTTTCTTCAATTCTTCATCAAATCCAATGATTGAGTCTCATTTGTAAAAATAAGAACTTCTTCCAGAAAAATTTAAAAAATACAAAAAAGAGGAAACTTTATTTGTGCTAACCCCAAAAAGTATAGATTATTAGATAATTAGGAAGGTTTCCTAATTCCGTATAAATAATCTTAAAAAATCAATAAAATTGGACTATTTTTGTTAAGTAGCGAGTATACATGTTTTGTCTATTATTTTAGTGAAAATTAATTCCTTCGTCTCATAATACACTGTATTTACTTTTTCCCTGTTTTACTTTTTACTTTACTTTTTACTGTTTTACTGTTGTTCCCATGAAAATAAACAAAACAGTAGAAGAAATTATATTTTCATCTTATTCTTATTAGTAAAAAAAAACTGAATAATGATTGGATTATTTCATAAATGCATGTTGGAGGTAAATTCTGAGAAAAAAATTAAACTGAATTGAACCGCTGAATTTCTTTTGTTTTGTACAATACTTCGGTTTCGAATTTAGTTTTACAATATAATAAGACCTATTTGGATTTACGGAATTCAGCTTTGGGGCTCCCCTAAACCATCGAATTCCTCTCGTATCCAATACTTACAATCCAAAATCCTTTGTAAAATCCTCAACGCTCCTTACTTTGTCACAAATAAAATCATCCATAAAGAACTTAATGTTCCATATGTTTCAGAAGCCCAATCCAGATACCTGTCCTTCCATAACAAACTGCAGAACCATCCGAACCCACTCGTTTCAAACCCTGCCTCCACCTCGATCCCTGATAACCCTCCGAGGAGTCTGAAAAGATGATTGCCTCGGGACCTTCTAATATAGAACTTTAATTCGAGTTCTACCAATGGGTAGTTTCTTTTCATGTTGTACATGTAATGTTACCAATGTCACATTTACTTGTTGTATTTTTCATGTAATACAGATGTAAATTTCATTAAAATTAAAAAATAAAAAAAAGGTTATCAATATAGTAGTGGCGGGTGAAAAAGTTGAAATCCCAAATACAGCACTATGACCCCAACTCAATTCACACACATCCTTATAACTTAAACAGGAGAGTCTAAAGAACTTGGAAAGTCTAATCCTTAAGACGCCCAAAAGTAGGAATAAGATATTCAATTTTATAACTCAATTGTAAGGGGATGTAGAGGTAAAGAAAGTGACCAAAAAAAAATATGCTTGGAATTACCTATATTTCGACGAGACTCACTAAACATATTGGGTTGGTAAATAAGTCTTTTCAGTTTTTTATAGTGAAATAAAACCCAATGTATTATAGATATAAAATTCATTTTAATCTACAATATATCGATCATTATTTAATAAGACTTTTTTCCATCTTTCCACTAACTGCATAATGTTCATGTCCAATAACTGCATGTTCATAGAATGTCTGGAGATTTTGTTGAAAAACTGAACCAAGTGGTTTTTGATATCCTCTTCCTTTTTGAATTTTTTTCCGTTCATGGTATACTGCAGAGATTGGTGAATAGGGAGCGTTTGGCAAAAGGTCCCATCTAAGGCTCAATAATTTATTGCGAGTGAACAATCAGGAACGTTATTATGTACCAAACGTACTTCCGATATGAAAGTTGTGGGCGTTTATTTTTAATTGATTGATCCAATTTTGTTAATTGTGAACAGCATAGAGTTCAATCAATTGTTTTCCCTGATAGCAATACCTCATAGAAAATAATACCTTTGAAATCCCATTATGTGGAAATTGATTGAATGATATTTGGTTGACCAATTATGACAGATGCCTTCGGTTATGGCATCATCCCCATCAACACTGCACATATTTGTATGAGCTTCTGTACCACCCTTACCAATTTTAAAATAATACAACAAAATATGCCGATTATGAATGATATTCTCTTCCATATTCACAGTGCAGTAGCAAACACAATTCTAAGCTAGTTTCAACAAGAGTTAACAGATGTAGTTGTTGACATATTACAAACAGGATAAACAATCCACCGTAGGGATTAATTCATCAGGTAAGAAGTGTATCATAGTGACATGAAAATAAACAGAAACACCTAAAGAACTTATTTTCCAACCCAATATTAGTGTGTTCTTCTGCCTATGTAATAATCCTACATTCCAAAATCCAGTCCATTTGACCTAAAGGTGCTTTTATTGCATAATATATTTTTAAGCAATGAAGTCTAACGCTGTTGATTCTAAATAAATATAATTATTTTATTTTGGGGATGTCAGTAAGATACTCTAAATTTGTTCATTTTAAACTAATAGTCTGCAGTGCTTATAAGAAGTAAAAATATATTGAGAAATAATGTATTCATTAAACTATTTTTCAATAATCTATCTAGAACTTTATCTATGTCTGTGTTCATGTAGTTAAATGATATTCATAAAAACAGTCCAAGATTTAAAATACCTCGTTGATGATCTAAATTCACTACAATAAGCATAATTCAAATATTTAGAAACACTGCTTAGCAGACTTACCTCGTTCACTCACAGTCCTATTCCAACTGACGAACTGAGTCTCTCGAACTGCTAGAGAACTGACTGATTCCTCCCAAAAAAGATAAGATATCAAATGTGGCAGTGATTATATCCTATTTATCTGTGTTAGAATCTAATCGACTTTCTGATTACAATTAATTACAAATATATAAAGATTGCATCATTCATCTGGTCCATGCAATAATTACAAAAAAAAAAATCATTATTTTCAAGATAAAAATATTCGTTTACATTTTACTCATTACATTTTTTCAGCTTATGTTGCATTTCGGAAGTGAACACTACAAAAATGGGAAAGTAAGTTTTTTTGTTTCTCTCAAAAGTAGTGATTTTCGTATTCTTAAATACATAACACCGACTATGGACATCCAATAAAAATATTCAAAATTCACTTTAGGCTCCCCAAAGCGAACAAGCCTTTCTGCTAAGAGTTTCTCCTATTCCAAAAACGAACTAAGCGAATTAAGAAGCAACGAGGGTGTGCCATTAAATCCAAGCACGAAACAGACAGAGGTGTCCAGGAGGGAAATTTATGTAGTTGGTCCATCAAAATTAATTAGGGGACACTTTTTGACGGGGTTTTCAATTTTTGGGGGGCACGATCCGAAGAGGGTTATGAATTTTTAAAATGAAAAGTTTTAAATCAATAGGCGAGCGGAATCATGGAACACACCACAGGATTTGTAATGATATATAATATACAAATGTTCAAATTCTACTTTCGTTTGCACTGTGTTTGCAGAGAGGAATAAAGTATCTTAGGAGGGGTGGGAGAAGGATTATTATGTACAATATTTATGTATTAACACGTGTACATGATTCCAGATATTCATAATAATTTAGTTTTTAGTCTTAAATTCAATTTGTCTTATTGATACAATTTTACTGTTATTTGCAAAAAATGTTTTTATTCAAACAGTCACAAATTTTGTGGCTTGTCACGATTTTACTAAAAATGAAATTTTGACTTATTTAAGGTGAATGCAAGGTGATTTTAAAAATAATAGTCTCCTTTTTTAGAAATTAAACAATCTAATCGGTTTATTTTCGACAATAACCGTTATAAAAATTAACAATATTTCTCTTATAACAGCTGTATGTTACACGAGATCTTTTTCTTTATTTGTTTTTGTCTGTTTTATAATTTTTTGCAGAAAGTGAAGCTCATTAGTTATCTTTCGATATACTTTGTTATTTACATTTCTCCTTGGCATTTATTTGGAATAAATTGGAATTTATACTAGTCTGATTCTCGGGCAAACTATTATGATTGAGAAAAAATCAGATTTCTGTTCATTTCTCATCTGTTGGCTTCCAGAGCATGTGTGACATGCAAGCACTAACTTCTAATTATAGGTTTTGCCAAGTTAACAACGGATTCCTTTGAAAGTTTTTTTAAAAATAATTTTGTTCTATTATGGTCCACATTCTACAATCTTTCACGAACACTAAATGTAAAGTGTTAACCTCTGATGAATTATAACATTTTTATGGTTACATCAGTAAAATAATTATTTAATTAGTCGGAAACGAATCACTTAGTACTTGCCCCACAACCACTACTGCTTGAATAATTAGCCTCCCAGAAACTTTGTGCACGCTTACTACTTAAGGCAGGGGGAAGAGTGTGCTAGGTATTTCTAAATTGAGTTCGCAATTGAATTATTATGTAACATGAACGGTCTGCTTCTTTTTTGGGGGTAAAAAATATTCTAAAAACTATCATTTTAGAAACTAAAAATAAATGGTCTTGGTGAACGCATTATACATGCTTTCATTAACCATCGTACTTAGAGTAGAAACAGGGGTGCCAAGAAGGGGGCTTCACGGCGTTCAAGCGGGCCTTCCAAAATTTTTGACGATGGCACATTTTGACTTGATTTTGAATTTTTGAGCTTAGTACAGTTTGAAAGAATTTGAGTTTTTATAAGGCATATTTTGATAGACTTTTGAATTTTTGAGGGAGGCACATTTCGATGAGACAATGAATCTTCGAAATGAACAGTTTCAAAGCGATTGCTAAAATTTTGGATGT